CAACAAATCGGGGGGCTCTACAACTAAAAATGTACGAGCACATGACTGTAAACTGCATTTGATTATTTCATTTAAAACAAAATTGTTGTCCAATAAAAGAAATGCCAACCTTTATCTTCTTCTCTGGGTAGGACTGCCTCTGGCAGCTTCAGTTCTATTTTCTTAGACTGGACCTGTGAGATAGGCTGCTCAAACACCTCCTGAGCATGTATCACCTGAGTCGGTCTGACAGGTGGGGTTTCTGAGGGGGCCACTAGGGGAGCTAACTTCAATTTCTTCTTAGGTAATCTGGATTTTCTTTTCAAAGGTCTCTTGACAGCAATTTTTTCTTTAACATTTCTATTCAGAAAAAAAAAAATTCATATTAATCAAATAGATCAAAGCTTATATTAAATTGTTTCAAATTTGTAAGACATAAGTACATTGAATCATTGCTTCCACTGATGACTTTACCCATTATTTTCACTTTCACTTTCGATCTCTGATTCCTCCTCACTTATAACTTCCATTTCCTCAGATTCTAGCTGATCTTTTCCTAACATCAGAGTATCTTCTTTATCACCAGGCTGTGGGCAAATCAAGTCATTATAACAATTAATTAATATTCGCTTGAGTGGCCAGTAAGAGAAAAAGAATGTGTATAGTTTAATGATATAATTTTCTAGGAAATTGAAAGTTATTCTGGACAAGGGAGATCATCCTCAAGTGATCCGTTATTTACTGTTACGTATGACTAAAACTAGAGAATTATCAAGGTCGACTGCCCTTGTAGTATGCTTTCAATGATGTGTGTAAAGTTAGGTTATACCACATGCACCTGAATTTTTACTAATAAGTCACTAAATTAGCCAAATATTGAAAAATTCTACCCCCTCTATATATAATTGCAAATATGAAATCCAAAGTTTGCTGAAGTTTTACTTGATAGCATTATGAACACATTAATAGATTTTAACTTTAGGAAGAGATGTTTAGTGAGAATTATCATATTTGAACCCAACGCTACACGCACACCGGTAGGCAATATATCCGATTTATGCGTTAAATTGAAGCAGGGGGTCAAAATGGTGTTGCACACCTTGTGTATTTACTGTATACAGGGTTATTATCGCCCAGTGCTATTTTCGCCTTTTTGCACTTGTGAACTATTTTACCCCGTTTTAAATTCGCCCAGTCTTAGTTTTGTTTTAGAAATTATGATGTGTAATTTGAATTCGCACCGTTTTAAATTTGCCCAATCAGGAAGAGGGCGAAAGGGTCGAAAATAAAACGGGGGCGAAAATTTCCCTGTATACAGTATATATAGAGGGGGTAAAATTTTTCAATATTCTGCTAATTTAGCGACTTATTGGTAAAAATTCAGGTGCCTGTGGTTATACTCACTATAGGAGGTGTGGAGGTAACAGGTCCAAACGGGGCAGGCAGGTTCATTTTGTTCATTAGATGGAGCACCTGAAGCAAAATTATAGACATTGCTTAGATAAAATATATACATTTCTACTTGTATTAGGTACAAATCTAAGTCCCCAATGCCTAGTATCTTTCATGGGTGTAAGCTGAAATTGAGTGTATTACACTACAAATGAATATCTATATATGCCAGAATCTTCACAGTTACTTATGTTCACAAAATGAGCTTAACACATAATTTACAGATTATGTTTGTCTCCTCTCTCATTTACTGAAGGACTTACCTGGACATAGAATTTTGGATATGAAGCCAGAGCATTGGCTATATTGGTTACTATGGCCACAGTTGGGGGAGGATACAAGTAATGCAGCTTAGGGTTCCTGGGATATTCCATCCTGAAAAGAAATGGAGAAGGCACCATTCTGTGATTCATTCATCATTAAGAAAAAATGGCACCCTTCTTTAAAAGTTGCAGACTTTTCTTTGAAGTAGCAGAGTATATGTACATGTAAATTGCCCTTAGTCCACACATGAGTTTAGGATTTATTCATAATTTAAACAAAATGAAGAATGTAAAGCTATCATTCAAATTATTTTTGCTAGATGTACTCCGACCCACATTTTTCAAGGTAGGTACTGTAGAGCACTAAATTTTCGCGACACCTTAATTTTGCGAGATAGTCATTGACGCTTTATTAGCGAGACATAATTTTCACGAATTGTTGTTTTAACTCTATATAATCGTAAGGAATACTTTTAAACGCGAGAATTAAATATTCGCGAGCTCATTGTCTCGCGTAATTACGCGAAAATTAAGTTCTCGCGAATAAAACGTGATTTACAGTAGTTTTTTTTTGTTTACAGTATTGACCAAATTGAACTGTCATAAAAATCACAGACTTGGAAATTTATTAATTAATGTTTTCACTACACACTGGATAGCTATATATACAAGTGAATTGCGATAAAAATTTTCAATCAAAGAGCAGGGCCAATATAAAATTATAGTTTGTTTGGAACTGCCTCCCGCCTCATTGAAATGCCCCCTCCTGAAAAAAATTTATTGACCAAAAGTAAGAAGATTTTTTTTTATTTAATCAATTTTTTTGCCCATTACATTTATCACATGCACCATACAAAACACTGAAATATAGTGCCAGATCTATGTAAAATTAGGTTTTTTGTTGATGGTAGATGCTTTCTTTAAAAGTCAGAAAATGTATTTACTGTTTACTGTTAATCTTCAATTTAACAAACAAAAATTTTCTTCCCTCCCTCCAGTGTCTGAAACCCTTCAGGCGGCAATTCCAAACAAACAATTTTTTAAGGATGGCCCAGTCTAAAGAACTTGTATACCTTTTAATTATTTTTAAAATAAAACAATTTCTCTGGAAACTTAGAAAAAAAGTGCTGAAAAAATGATTGGGTACGGATTATTTTGCAGTTGGTGTTCATAAAAAAAATATCAATTTTTATTGTTGGCCTAAGTTTATTTTTTTTTCACTTGCTGAAAGTGAAAAGTGGAATACTAAGGAAGTTATTGAAATTAGAGTCAAAGGTCAAATATAAAGATTATAACAAAAGAATACACATAGACCTTCACACCATATCAACAGAAGCTAGATTAATAAAATGCCTTACAACTACCACACAATGATAATGAAACTGCTATGAACAAGTTGATGTAGATATTGAACTTGCCATTTTCTGTCTGTACTTTGGATTTTAGTTTTGAATGCTTGTATAATTAAGATGCATGTTAAAGTTAAACTGATCAGCCAGTGACCTCTGGATTTTTACGACAAAAAATGGGTTGGCGATTAAATATTGGGTCAGTCTGGTGACTAAACAAACATATTTTATATTAAATCTTATATTAGGTTTTGTAGAAAAGCATATCTACCTCCAGGTTTTAAAAGTATTTTCTGTTGGCAGATACTCCTCAGGTTTATCATCTTCTGTCTCATGAAGATTGTCACTGCTTTCTGCTGGTGGTTTTCTGTTTAATTAAGCAATTTTTAAACTGATGCTGTAAACATCTTACATGGCATTTTCTGATATTTTTAACATTTTATACAATAGTTCCTGATGCATTGATCATTTTATGATATATTTACTGACTATAACTCTGCAAGAATAACCTCTTATTTTCGAGCAGTGAAGGAAAATTCTTTCTCTGTGTACTTTTGGCAAATTCTACAATGAGTTTACATCCACATACTTCTAGCTGATGAAGCTGGTTCAATGCCTGTTAATTACAAGAATCAGACAAAGGACATACATAATTGCCAATATAAGATACTTAGTCATGCAGTAAGTGACTCTTGGTCACTTCAAAATCTATGCTTGTTGATTTTTTAAAAGTTAAGTTTACTAAATACCTTTTTAGCAGAGTCATGGTCAGAAAAAGTAGCAAATGCAGTATGTTTCTGAAAAAAAATAAAAAGAATCTATATACTAAATGAATGAAGCATACACCCAGTCTTTCAGATGTTCTTTAGTAATCAGGTCCGGCACAATCTCTTATTAAGCTATACAGCTTGATTTAGCTATATAGCTTTATTAAGCTATTCAGAATAGCTTGATTAAGCTATTTTCTCAGACTTTTTTGTCAAATGTGTTATTTTTTCAACATGTGCAAAAAGTCGCACCTTGTTGCAGTGGAAAATTTAAACTTTGTATTCTTCTGAATACAATGCATGTAAAAATCACTCACCAAATTGCGTCTCCTTGAGAGACTTTGTACTCAAATTTTTAAAAGTTTTGGGGCTATTGATGAGTGACCACAGTTATTTCTTGAATGAAATTATAAAGGAGGCCAATTATGTCCAACAGGATAATTGATTAGTAACAGTTCAGCACAATGAGAAGCAATCATACTTACCCACGCCTCACCGCACACACAGTTACTCAAACAATGGAAATTCATATTTTGCTTAAAAGTATTCAACAGCAGCAATGTTAAATCTTTCTATGAATTAGGTTGTATTTTTGATAGTCCATACACAGGGGCTTGCTCCTGGCGTGTAAAAAATATTTAAAAAAAAAAAAAACATAAACGAAGTTTATAGTATATCGTTTATGTTTTTGTTTTTTTAATATTTTTAACACGCCAGGAGCAAGCCCCTGTGGTCCATACTACATATATGAATAGTCAAATATTTGCGACTTTTTGTTTATTTCTTTCAAAAAACGTTTTTGTGAAAAATTGCAAATAAATAGCTTTATCAATCTATTTTGAATAGCTTAATAAAGCTATATAGCTTAATCAAGAGATTGTGCTGGACCTAGTAATTCTCGTATATGTTTACCATGGGTCCTTTTATTCCCATAACTTTCACTTTAGTAGCACCAAAATGCACAAGTAAATCCTCTTTGTCGTTGTTGTTAAGTTCAGACGGCAAATGCCGCACGTAAAGAGTACAACTTGGCTCTGATGTTGTACCCATGTTTTCATTCAATGGAAAATGAAAGTACACTAAATTCTGGATCACTCATACGCTTAAAAGCTAAAAGCGGATAGGTATAGAAAAATAAAACATTCAAAAGATTGTGATTCAAATTCAATATGGCTGCGCCCATGTGAAGAAGACAGGCGAGATTTACCAAGAAAAAAACCCCCATAAAATGAAATTGGTAATAATAATATGTTTTACGGTGTGACCGTTGGGGCGAGCGCAGTTTATTTACTATCATAAACCTACACATGTACTGTCTATCATTCAAGAAAAAGAAAGCAAAAAGAATAAAACAAAACAATAAAAAGAAATCATTTCCCAAGCATCGGGAACGAGATTCCAAACTTCTCGGAAGTTTCCGACAAAATCGGAAATACCTGAACCGTTAAAGTGACGAAAGTATGACGTCAGATAAAAAGTTCTGTTGACTTAGGACGCAAACGCTAGTTTTATGGAAAAGAGATTGCATTAAATCGTTCTTTTCAAGTAAGTTGTTGCTATGTTTTAGCCACCATGTTGCTATGCACCGCAACATGTTTTCCGAGTCTCACGGAAGCAACCGACATAACTTCGTCAAAATTCGTAAGTTTCCGGTGACGTCATTTGTATCATTTCCGAAGGGCAAGGTGAAGGCCGGTGTTGTGGCATGGGGGTATTTTTTAGCTCTACTGGTCAGAGACCAGAAGAGCTTATGCGATAGTAATGCGTCCGGCGTCCGTCCGTCTGTCTGTCTGTCTGTCTGTCTGTCTGTCCGTCTGTCTGTAAACAATTTTTAAAACGCTACCCCTCCTACAATTTTAGTCTGATTTCAATATTACTTGGCACACAAGTATACTACACTAAGATACATAGAATAGTGCATCGGTTTTTGATTTCGATGAATGGTGTTGCCATGGTTACTAAAAATAGAATTTTCTGTGAAATTCCTTTAAAACGCTACTCCTTCTACAATTTTGGTCTGATTTCAATATAACTTGGCACACAAGTAGACTACACTAAGATACATAGAAAAGTGCATCAGTTTTTGATTTCGATGAACGGTGTTGCCATGGTTACTAAAAATAGAATTTTCTGTGAAATTCCTTTAAAACGCTACTCCTTCCTCAATTTTGGTCTGATTTCAATATAACTTGTCACAAAAGTAGACTATTCTAAGATACATAGAATAGTGCATCGGTTTTTGATTTCAATGAACGGTGTTGCCATGGTTACTAAAAATGGAATTTTCTGTGAAATTCCTTTAAAACGCTACTCCTTCTACAGTTTTGGTCCGATTTCAATATAATTGGCACACAAGTAGACTACACTAAGATACATAGAATAGTGCATCGGGTTTTGGTTTCGATGATAGGTGTTACCATAGTTACTAAAAATAGAATTTTCTGTGAAATTCCTTTAAAACGCTACTCCTTCTACAGTTTTAGTTTGATTTCAAAATAAGTTGGCACACAAGTAGACTACACCAAGATACATAAAATAGTGCAATGGTTTTTGATAAGTACAAACCAGTAGAGCTACAGTCTCGACAGAGACTTGAACACTTCTGGTTTGAATAAGGTAAGGCAAAATCATTTCGTTAAGATATCGGTAAGAAACAATGTTCCTTTATTGGCTTTAATTTTTTTACTATTTTTGATTTATTCGCGCAAAGGACATTGGGTAGTGCAGGAATTCTGGGAATGTTGCACAGAGAAATTTGGCTGACGTATGTACAGATTTCAATCCGAATTTCCTCTGTTCATACACGTTAGTCTATTGAGCTCGCTGCGCTCGCTATAATAATATCACATGGGATGCTTTGCATGATTTTACTCCTTATCTATCTGACAACTGATATCTGGAAATAAAAGTGGAAAATAGTCTACAAAATAGACCTGCTGATCTGGTTATGGCCAGTCTAATTTTGTTAACCATTCAAAAGTTTTGCAAAATGTTACATTGCTGTGTATTTATTTTAATTGTAGTCTTGTCTGTCAGGAAACCCAAGCAAACCATGCTTCGTCCTTTACTTCAAAGGAGTCACTTTGATGCTGGACTGTGGGTTAGACATTGCTCAGATTCTGAAGTTTCTGCCATTATCTGTGGCTCCAAACAAGTATGTTTTTACTGGGGGAACAAATGGCAACATTTTTCATCAAAGAATAACTGTTTGTATAGATATTCAATTTTGTTCTTATTTTAAACTTACAAAAATCAATGTTTCCTTTCTGAAAAATTTAATTAAGAGCTGTTGACTCAAATATTTAAAGCTCATAGGTGCACTGCACCTCCTAATCTTGTAATTATGATGACATAAAAAGCCTACATATGACATCAGCCCCGCTATAGAGGGATGTCTACCCCACTATACTATAGACTATAGCAGGATAGCTAGACCTGTGTATAGACTAATTAATATGTTTTACGGTGTGACTGTTGGGGGCTAGCGCAGTTGTACCATCAAAAACACTTGAAAAATTGCTCCGCCACTTCAAACATCAAGACGCACGAGACATCTCAACTAGTTGTGACTTCACAAGATGTCAAGGAGCTCGTAGCAGCTTAGGGAGATGGCCAGGCGTCTAGTTGAAACTATAGACCTAGTGCAATTTTGGTCGAAAAACATTGCAGAGTTATTTTTTGTTTCTTTGAAAGATTTCTACAAACTGATAGCCTTTTTATATGCCCGTCTTAAGACGGGACGTATTATGTTATAGGCTTCGTGTCCGTCCGTCTGTCCGTCTGTCTGTTAGCTTTTTCGTTTCCGGCTCATAACTTTAATACTACTAGGCCTAGGATTACCAAACTTTGTCATCTGATGCATCTTGGGTAGAAGGTGTGTCGCACACAAAAAGTAGGTCGCTCTGACCTTTAATTAAGTTATAGCCAAATATGGAAAAATCCTTTCCGGCCCATAACTAGAAAACCATAAGACCTACAATCATCAAACTTGGCCAGTTTATGCATCTTAGGTAGAAGGTGTGTCGCGACCTATTTCAAGGTCACTGTGACCTTTAATTTAAGTGGATTTTAAAAAAAAAAATGTGTCTTTTTACTATTCCTTTACACATCCCAAATAATGTAAGAGTATTGCACTGTTCTTATTAAAAAAGTGTTAAATCAAGAAAATACTTATTTTTTTTAAGCATATACTTGACAGCAATCTAAAACAAATATAATGTATGTTAGAGAAATCCCATGTCTCCCATGAGTGTAATTATCAAGCACTGGTCAAGAAGAATTTTGATAACAGAAAATTGCATGTCAAATTAGAGAGAAATTAATGGGTTTTGAGTGCGAGGAGCTATTGACAGAGCATTGGCGTTATCTATATCCCATGAGAATTGGGCAAATGGGTAAGCCTGTTTGATTAAAAATAGCTCTTGTTGACTAGCTTAAGTTTTGAAATGAATTTGATGAAAAGTAATTAAAACTAATTTGATATTGCATAATAGACTAATCTGATATTATGTAATATTATTAATTTAAAAACTAATTTTATGGGGTGGGGTTGAATCAGCATGTCCATATGAATTACATACTAAAATCTGTCGGACATTTAATCTCAACCAAAAAAAAAAAAATCTGAGAGTATTTTATATGTTTAAAAAAAAAATTATAGTGCAGACCCATTCATCTCTTGGTAGTAATGAGTAGACAAGCATCCAGTTAAAGATTAATTAATGAGTTCAATGTAGGAAGGGTAGCTATCTCAGTCGCTCTGATTAAGCAGCCCTTTGGGGATTAGACAGAAGAACTGCTGGTCAGTTTATAACATATGTCATTTGATGGCCAGCCTTTTTTTTCAAAATTAATTTGGTATAGATTAAGTTGTTAAGACTAATTTGATGATGGGCATTTGACAAGGTCTAACACAACCAGCACAGAAATCTATCAGTGATGTAATATTTATTATAATTGATGCCTACATCACAGGGGATGGATAAATGACAAATCATCGAAATCTTAGAATCAAGGTTGATGTGATTTTCTTGCACCTAAACTGTTCAAGAAAATTGTAATTTTTTTGACGGGCGTATCATGCTGTGGCGCGGCACTTTATTTGCTTTATGTTATTATTTATTTATTTATTTGCGCAAAGGACATTGGGTAGTAAAGGAATTCTGAGCATGTTTCACAGAGAAATTTGCCTGACGTATGTACAGATTTCTTTCCGAATTCCCTCTGTTCTTACACGTTAGTCTATTGAGCTCCTTTCGCGAGTGTCACTTCACGATGCTCGCTGCGCTCGCTATTTTGATATCATTTACAGAGTTAAGTGGGGAACACATTTTATATTTGCCAGTGTTTGAAATAATTGTGCACACAATTGCCCAAGATGCATGTATTGATGCCTGTTTGGACATGTTGAAATCACAAATTTGATAAATAACTTTCATATCAATAAATAGTATCAGTAGCAAAGTTTAAGAAGCCAAGAATAAGAATTTGTTATTCTTCCGATTTGGGATCAAAGTTATGGTAACTTGTTTCCAGTCACAAAATTGTTAAAAACAAATTTATTTCTCAAGCTAGTTGCTAGATCTTTGGCAGGGCTGACAACTTTTACTATGCATCAGCCCTGCACTTTTGGCTCCTTTTACAGTGAGTTGGAAACACATTTAATAAATGTATATCTTATTCTGTTATGACAGCAACACATACAATTAACAATGACCCAGTGATGATATAAAGAGGGTGTATTTTGTATTTAATTTATGAATTACAAATAGTAAATAAAAAAGTCTTTTCCAGATCTGATAATACTTATAAAAAATGGATTCACAGTGACAAAGAAAAAGACAAAATATTGGTGAGCATTATTTTTCATGTTTTTAATTTATTTACATGTTTTGTTTGGGTTTTTTTTTATTATAGTTTAAGCATGCTTTTGTTTAGTAAAAAGAGGCTTTTAATTCATCTCTACACACAAAGTATACAATATTATTTTTAAATAAAATGAAGGTGTTAAATTCCAGTGTTAATTTTTTATTTGAAAGAATTTTTTTTCCATTAAATTCTTGGTTCCTAAGAAAAATGAAAACACTGTGTTATCCTTTAAATTTGCAAAAGACTTGATGATTTATATATCATCAAGTTTAATTTATTTTTTTTAATCCATTCTTGAATTCATCCTTGAATCCAGCTCTGACTTTTTGTACCCACTCTGCCAAGAAACTTTCATTCCTCCAAAAATAAATACAGTGTAGTATGGTAGGTTGTTCATGAAGAGCAATACTTTCATCGTTATCAATATTTTTAGCAGGTGCTTGAGAGGAGAAATTGGTATCTGTAATATAAATATTAAATAATCACCATATTCAAAAATCTTAAATGAAATAACAAAGACTAATAAATAATTCTTTAGAGTGATAACATAAAAAAAATAGGTTTACAACTGATTGAGGATCTAATGATTTTTTTTTTTACCAGGGAGATGAACTTCGAGAAGTGGCAGGGTCTGTATTTGTAGATGGGTCACTGGAATTCTGCTCCCCAGAGGTAAGACACAGCTGGGGGAAAATCAATTTTAACACTGTGATACATATTATTAGCTATAGAAAAGAGAAGATTAATGTGAAATTTCAAATTAATTTTAATTCTCATTTGTTGTTTTATCCACTTTTAAGTGTAAAATCTCAGTGATGGATGTTTACTTGGTTTTACTGCCTGTTATGACATATTAATAAATCTGATGTGAGTTAAGTGTAAACTTTCAGTGATGCTTGTTTTACTCAATTTTACAGCTGGGTATGACAACCCTTTCAGAAGTGGATGCTATTCTTTTGTCCAATCATAATACAATGTTGGCATTACCATATATAACAGAATATTCAGGATTCAAAGGAACGATTTATTGTACAGAACCCACTCTACAAATAGGAAGGTAGTATTGAGTCATTTCTTATTAGATACATGTGGTATTAATGTTTTCTGTTATCAGAAAAGGTATTGATGGGTTATAAGAATAAGCCAGTTAATGTTTAGGTGTTGATCAAAATCAACAAAACGATAGTTGTATAATGATAATTATTCAAACTATGTTGTTTGAATCATCAATAAGACTACCGTGTAAAATGTATGAAATAACAGCTAGTTAAAAATGGATAAAAGAAATATGTAATTATACACCTTTATTTTTACAAAAATTCATTTTCAAAATTTTCATGGAAGCACAAAAAATGTTCCATAGTTAAATAATTGTAAATAGGAATTTTGATTAGTCTGTCGAATCTCTATAGAAAAACTATTAAATCAAACTGAATTGAAAATGAAAAGTGTAAAATACTAATAGTTTTTATACGCCCGTCTTAAGACCGGACGTATTATGTTATAGGCTTCATGTCCGTCCGTCCGTCCGTCTGTCCGTCTGTCCATTCCTGTCCGGCTCATAACTTGAATACTATTAGGCCTAGGATTATCAAACTTTGTCAACTCATACTTCTTGGGTAGACTGTGTGTCGCGCACAAAAAGTAGGTCGCTCTGACCTTTAATAAAGATGCTATAGCCAAATATGGAAAAATCCTGTCCGGCTCATAACTAGAAAACTATTAGACCTAGAGCTTTCAAACTTGGCAAAAGTATACATCTAAAGTAGAAGGTGTGTCGCGGCCTATTTCAAGGTCACTGTGACCTATAATTAAAATGAATTTTTTAAAAAATACTATGTCTATTAAATTCTAAATTTCATAATCCTAAAAAATGTAAAAATATTGTTGTATCCTAGCTTTTTAAAAAACGTTAAATTAAGTAAAAACTTATTTTTTCATTATATACTTTACAGCAATCTGTAACAAATGTTTATGCTTTGAGAGGAATTCAGTTTGTCCCATGGGCTTAATTATCAAGCACTGGTCAAGAAGAATTTTGATAGCAGAAATTTGCATGTCAAATTAGAGAGAAATTAATGAGTTTATTGTCAGGAGCTAAGAGCATCTCTAGATCTGGTTTATCTTAATCTAGTTATCTTAATTTATCTCTTGGGAGTTGGGTAAAAAGAAATGGCCTCATAGTTGTGTTAATTAAGAGTTCTTGATAGCTAATCCAGATAAAGATCTTTCAATTGGTGTTATTAATTAAAACAAATTGATGTTTTAGTGTATGCATGATAATGCCATGATTAAAACTAAATTAGTATTGTACAATATGATTAAAACTAATTATACATGTGTTAATTGAAAAAAAAACATTATATTTCAAATTTTACATATTTGCGACAAATTGCAGTCATGTCTCACTAGTATTATTTGTTATAATCAATCCCTACACTGTAAGTCTCTTAGAGATGTATAATAAGAAATGGAAAATAGATAATTGAAATCTGTGTCAATCTGTTAATCAAGGCTACCTGATTTTCTTGCATCCTAACCAATTTATGATTATTGAACAATATTTGACGGGCGTATCATGCTGTGGCGGGGCACTTTATTCAATGTGGGAAATCAAGATTGTGTGCTGTGTTTTGCAAATCATACACTCTAACAGGCTTTTCTTTACACCTATTTTCAGGCAGTATATGGAGGAACTGGTCACCTATGTAGAAAGGAATCCCCAAAATAAGAAGTGTTCAAAGTGGAAATCTGAGGGAATTCTGTCCTCTCTCCCCGCCCCTCTCAGGGAGGCAATACGACCCACAGCATGGCGGGAGTGCTACACCAGACACGATATACAGACCTGTCTGTCCAAAGTACAGATTGTGGGGTACAATGAGAAAAGGGTGAGTCACTCAATGTTACACCAGACATAATGTACAGACCTGTCTGTCAACGGTACAGACAGTGGGGTACAATGAAAAAAGGGTAAGTCACTCAATAAATACAAATACAAATACAAATACTTTATTGGCACAAACACAATTACAATAATTGGCAAAGGCCCACTGAACATCATTAAATGTTTACATATTTTTCAAAAATTGTCAAGTAATTGACTTCTAAGTTCAAAACAGTCTCTGATAAATTTAACAGTAACTTTCAAGACTTTTTGTATATTATTAAGGTCTTCCGTCTTCACGGAAGACCTTATAGTTATTGCTCTGTTTCTTATTATTATTAAGGTCTTCCGTCTTCACGGAAGACCTTATAGTTATTGTACTGTTTCTTATTATTATTATTATTATTATTATTTTTCTGACACGATTTCTCGACAACGACTGGATAGAATTAAATGAAATGTTCAGGAAAGATGTGTTTTAAGATACTCTTGAAAGTTCCAAGACAATTTTTGGAAATTCCTCTGTGGTGCCAAGTTTTGGACCATTTTCCTGATTTTAAAACGACATTTTGTCCACAATTAAACTCAAAAACGGTAAAAGATATCAATGTGAAACTTTCAGAGTTTATAGATGATGATCAATACTTTCCAGGACGCAACTTTTCGTTCGTCGTCAGTACTTCCTGTCGCTACCGGAAGCCAATTAAAAAAGTCCAAATTTTCAACTTTCTTTGTTTTTCAATATTTTTCATTTATTTTTGGAATATTAATAAAGACACTTCTGTTGATGCTTACTATATTAATTGTTTTAATATTGGTTAATCTGAACTCTAGATATTAATATTTGAAAATCTGAAGCGAGCCCAAGATGGCGGCTGTCTCTGTCAACTCCGCCATTTCGCGAATAGGGGTTTATGGGGGCAGCTGAGCGTTTGATTAAACCATTCTGACATAAGGATACATGAAATGTGAAAAACTACGTGGACTTTCACGTAGTAGTACGTTGCAATTCAGTGTCAATCTTAAAACTAAATTTCCGTTTCACTGCTTTAGTGTAACTGGGTTGGGTACGATATGTTATGTGTACAATGTGTTAAATATACTTTCTTAAAGTTGAAATAAAGTAAAGGCGATAAGAACGTTTTATTTTTTTTAATTTCATTGAAGCTAAAAACCTATTTAATAGATCAGTCCAAAGAAAAGGCCAAATATTTACTCGTGGCGTTTGGCGCAAAATTATGAAAAGTGCCCCGCCTTTTCTGATTCGTAGACAGGTGTACTGTTGCAAAAGTATACACAAGTATATGTAGAGCAGTACTCCCAGTGGCTTAATGGTTTGCGCGTTGTGGGTAAAAGAGAAAAAAGCCCATTCACATTGGCGACCTGGATTCAATCCTCCTTGTGACCAAAATTTTGAATCACTTTTCAGTTCGATTTTACAAGGTTTTTTTTTTTCGTGAAGCGGACGGAAGACCTCTCGTTGCTCGCAACGAGATCGTTTCTAGTTATTATTATTATTTTTCTGACACGATTTCTCGACAACTACTGGATAGAATTACATGAAATTTTCAGGAAAGATGTGTTGTAAGATACTCTTGAAAGTTCCAAGACAGTTTTTGGAAATTCCTCTCTGGTGCCAAGTTCTGGACCATTTTCCTGATTTTAAAATGACATTTTGTCCACAATTAAACTCAAAAACGGTAAAAGATATCAATGTGAAACTTTCAGAGTTTATAGATGATGATCAATACTTTCCAGGACGCAACTTTTCGTTCGTCGTCAGAACTTCCTGTCGCCACCGGAAGCCAAATCAAAAAGTCCAAATTTTCAACTTTTTTTGTTTTTCAATATTTTTCATTTATTTTTGGAATATTAATAGAGACACTTCTATTGATGCTTACCATATAAGTTGTTTTAATATTGGTTAATCTGAACTATAGATATTAATATTTGAAAATCTGAAGCGGACCCAAGATGGCGACTGTCTCTGTCACCTCCGCCATTTCGCAAGTAGGTGTTTATGGAGGCAGCTGAGCGTTTGACTAAATGATATATGAAAAGTAAAAAATCAACGTGGACTTTCTCCAATTAGTACGCTGCAATTTCGTGACAATTATAAAACTTAATTTCCGTTTTACTGCTTTAGTGTAATTGGGCTAGAAATGTGTGTGCAATGTGTTAAATTTACTTTCTTAACGTCGAAATAAAATAAAGGCGATAAGAAGTTGTTTAAATTAATATTTAATATCATTGAAGCTATTACACCTATTTGATAGATCAGTCCAAAAGATAAGCAAGAATGTTTACTCATGGTGTTTGTCGCCAGATTATGAATAGTGGCCCGCCTTTTATGATTCTTAGACAGGTGTACTGTTGCAGGTGTACTGTATACATAACTATATTTAGAGCAGTATTCAGAATTTATTCGTTTTTCACAAACGTAACCACTGTGTTTCCCATGCACACTTGAGTCATATTAAAATAATACAAAAGACAGAAATAAGAAAACCTTTTTTTTAAATAAGATCGTCTAATGGAGTTTATATTAACATTCTTTTCTCAAAGATATTTAAAGTTGAACATTGAACATAAATGAAATCTGATTCCTTGACCGTCGAAGGGCGAGACATGTCTTTCATCGAACCTTTTCTACCTTTCGATGAAGGTGTAGAGAATCGGGTAAGTTCACTTACGGGATAAACTGGTAATTAATAAAAAGTTTAAAATGATTACCATTTCACTTCTTTTGTGTTACTTACCTATATAAGATATAGAATATGTACAATCTGTTGAATATATTTTCTAAACCTCAAAATTTAGGCTTAAAGAACGTTCCTTTTTCATTATTCTATTGAAACTATCACCCCTATTTAATGAAACATTCCAAAGAAAAGGCGCGCAGATTAACTTGTGGCGCTTGGCGCGAAATTATAAATCGTGGCCGTCTTTCGTGATTCTTCGACAGGTGTATTGTTGAAGAAGTATATTCAAGGACATTTAGAGCAGTGGACTCAAACGCATAATTTAAGCGTGTTGGGAATAAAGAGGAAAAAGCGCGTTGGATTTTCACGCTGGCGACCTGGGTTCAATCCCCTTTGTGACCAAATTTTTTTTATCACTTTTTCAGCTCGATTTTAGGTTCTTTTCCTGAAACGGACGGAAGACCTCTCGTTGCTCGCAACGAGTTCGTTTCTAGTTGTTTACATATAATTGTAACATATATTTCTCATTGCTAAAATTATTATTTTTCTTTGTTATGTTATAAATATTACTAAAGAATGTGTTTCTTAGCTTAGAGTAAGAATTACATTGAAAAAGAAAATGTATTTCATCCTCAATCACACCAGTATTACAAACATTACAATATTTTTCATTTCTTGATGTGGAAATATATCTACCACTTTCTATTGCAAGTTTATGTGCGCTTAGTCTAATTCTACTAAGAGAGGATCTCTCAGATCTTTTTTTGAGTAAATCAACATAAGGACTTCTTTTTCCTGAGTATACTTTCTTGAAGAAATCAAGTTTTTCTGAACCAAAGATTTTTGACGTTTGCTCCTGAGTGCACTGATCAATGATTCTTTGTTTAATGTTTGGTAAAAGGTGTTGGATGGAACCTGTATATTTTGTAATGTTTGAGAATCCAAGATTATCTAGAATAGAAAATAATTTCTTAGTCCAAGAATTACAGTTACTTGTGGATTGGTAAAGTTTAAAGGCCAAAGAATCAGAAGTTTTCAGGTGATTCCAATATTTGATACTAGAGAGGGAAATTTTGGACCAAAGTGGTAGTCTTTTAAGTTCCGCTAAACAACCAGCATTGGATGTTTTGCAGTGCACTCCAAGGATGTCTTTAATAAATTTTAAGTGAAAATTTTCAATATTTGAAATATCTTTGGATGAGAGATCCACTCCCCATATTTCACAACAATAGAGAAGAACTGGAAGTACAATAGCATCAAAGAGTTTTTCTAAAAGTTTACATGGGTTATCAAATCCAATAATTCTTTTCATTTTAAAACATGCTTTTCTAGCCTTTTCAATAAGCACAGCTGTTGCTAAATTAAACTTCCTATTACATTTCATCATAATACCTAAATAACAGTATCTTGGTACAATTTGTATTGCATTACCATTAAAACTAAATTCATTTCCTTGAGGCTTGCTATTTGAGTTAAATATCATAACTTTAGATTTATCTACATTAACTTGAAGTTTCTAATTTGAGCAATAGTTACTGAGAATATCAAGACTGGTTTGTAAACCGCTTTTGCTTTCTGAGAATATTACAATATCATCAGCATATAACAGGCAATTTACATGAATTTTGTTTACTTGCACAGGATCACATTTTCCATTTTTTAAGTCATGGACAATACCATCAATAAAAACATTAAAAAGTGTGGGACTTAAGACATCCCCTTGTTTGACACCACATTCAGAATTGAATACATCACTTAATCCATCAGAAAATTTGATTCTACTCATTGTATTACTATACATGGAAAATAAAATATTGAACATTTTTTGGGAAATATTATATTCAAGAAGTTTATAGAATAAACCTAATCTCCATACAGTGTCAAATGCCTTTCTAAGATCAATAAAAGCAGCATAGACCTTTTTGTTTTTGTAGTGATCAATTATTGTTTTTATTGAGAACAAATGGTCTGATGTTCTACAGTTTTCCTTGAAACCAATTTGATTTTCACTTATCAGTGATGTAGAGTTTACAAATTCAAGTAGCCTAGTATGGATTATTCTGTTGAAAAGTTTTCCTAGATTTGAAGTAATTGATATACCTTGGTAGTTGTTAGGATCAAGCATATTACCCGACTTATACAGTAATACTAAATAGCTCTCATTCCAACTTTTTGGGAATACACCAGAATTAAGTATAAAGTTAAATAATTTTTCAAGAGGTTTCAGCATTACAGATCCCCCACTTTTTAACAGTTCATTTGATATCATATCCATGGAAGAACTCTTTCCATTTTTCAGGGATTTAAGGGTACTTCTTATTTCAGTGATAGTAAAATCTGGTTCAAGGAAATGGTTATGATGTAGTTTTTCTTTCAAGACATGAAATTTATCTATTATACTTTTATGAAAATTATTGTGATTGTTGTCAGCTTTGTTGAGTTTTTTAAAAAACTGATAAAATTCCTCAGGGTGAACATCATGAGATGAAATTTGTCCAGTATTGATTTTATCTAATTTATTGAGTAATTTCCAGAATGACTTTGGATTTTTATTAATATTGTTGTTAATGTCATTACATATTGTGTTTCTCCACAATGATCTAAAAATAGATCGGGGAAATTCCAAATTGATACAAATAGGTTTGGTAAGCTATTACACCTGCTACCTACTTTTACTCATGTAAACATAACATTCGGTGAATATATAATTTGGGGTGGGGTGGTAAGTGGGGTGGTAAGTGGGGGTGCCAGGACACCCCTCCCTCTGATACCTTTTCTAAACAAACAACTTACAAGTCATTTTTACTGTTTAAGCTGTCAGTTATCACTGATAATCCTACTTCCTTTCAAAATCTATCACAGAAAAGAGCCTGACATTTTTTTTTTTCATTCCTGGCAACTTAAGTAGATTTTAAACATTTTAAATTAATACAACAGGTGAGGTTTATTTACATTGTAACTCTGCTTCTCTTTTTGTAATTGGTTAGGACTTCAAGAAATGCCAACAAGTAATGAGTTGTATCATTTAATCATTGAATCATATAATAAAACAATTTTTTCAGTCAATACAATGATTTAGCCACCTTCAAAGTACAATATTCACCTCGCCCTCTTGGCTCAGTGAATATTGTACTCCCCAGGTGGCTAAATCATTGTATTAATCTCAAAAAACAGCAATAATTGTATAATATTTCTTAAAAGCCAGATTAAATAGTTCAAAATTCAGGTCAGTGATAAAATTTGTAAGTGGTGTTTTTTTTTGCAGAACATATTTGGAGCTTTGACTATCACAGCCTGTAGTTCTGGGTACAGCATTGGCAGTTGTAACTGGACAATCAAGTCTCCGTACCAAAAGGTAAATCTAGTCCCCATACCAAAAGGTAAATCAAGTCTCCGTACCAAAAGGTAAATCTAGTCCCCATATCCCCATACCAAAAGGTGAATCAAGTCTCCGTACCAAAAGGTAAATCTAGTCTCCATACCAAAAGGTGAATCAAGTCTCCGTACCAAAAGGTAAATCTAGTCCCCATACCAAAAGGTAAATCAAGTCTCCGTACCAAAAGGTAAATCTAGTCCCCATACCAAAAGGTAAATCAAGTCTCCGTACCAAAAGGTAAATCTAGTCCCCATACCAAAAGGTAAATCAAGTCTCCGTACCAAAAGGTAAATCTAGTCCCCATACCAAAAGGTGAATCAAGTCTCCGTACCAAAAGGTAAATCAAGTCCCCATACCAAAAGGTGAATTGTAGCATTTCATGTTGTAATTGAACAACTCTGTGTAACCATTGGTTACCAAAACCTTACTTATCAGAACATAAATAAACTACAGTCAAACTTGTCTTAGCGGCCACCCGTAATCAACGGCCACTCGCGGTCAGCGGCCACTTTCAGTTCCCCCCGACGACTTTTACTATATATTTTAACTGGAATAAATGGCCACCTGTGTAACGCGGCCAGCGGCCACTCAAATCATCACCCACAGTCTTATGGACTCTGAAATAAGCGGCCATTTCGTCACTTGTTGCAATTCTATCGCGTCTTTTTAACACATTTGCTTGGGTAATTATATGCTCGATGGTCAATTTGACCTATTAAAGCAATTAAACAAATTACTTGTAGATACTCTGAACTTTGTGTTAATGAAAAAATTTAAGATGAAAGTTTAAAAGAATTGAATTACAATAAATATTTTTCCAGAGCTAAAGAAATTCAATCTTAAAGCTAATATTTCTACTAGATTTTGTACTTTTCGATATTAATTCATCATTACCTTGAATGTTTTCTGAGAGTATGTGACCTAATACAGGGCTATCGATATTTTCACACCTTTTAAATTTTGATTCCATGTAGAAACCCTAATTGCTACTCTTGTGAAAACAAAGTGCATGATTATCTCGTGAATTTCACTATCGAAAGACGATCGATAGGGATTAGTTACGCTCTAGTGCACAGGACACCTGAGCTGTAGAATGGTTTTCAACTGCGTAAATACACCTTTGTGGTCAACTGGTTAATCTTATTTGTGTTTCTATCTATATTACATAGAAATTCTGACAGCTTTATATAAAACAAAAACCAGACTTTAAAAACTCCAGCAAGTAAGGTAATTGCCGATTTATTGAATTGGGGGGGGGGGTTACACTGCTGAACATTACTTGAACTTACTTAAATAAATTTCTAGACATTTTTATTTAAATGTGTGTTATTTTTTTTTAAATAAAAAAGAGATTATAGTAAAGCACATGTTTTTCTTCAAATGCTTATTAAAAGAGTTTACTTAATATCTCAATGTAAAAAATCATGCATGATGTTTAACTGATATGTAGGAACAGAAACATGCACAAATCAAGTAACAATTTGGAATTATTTAATTCTTTTTTTTTAGCATGAATTAATATATATACACCTAAAAAACATTTACCTATTTAATTTTCTGATTAATTAATTTAAGTGTAGTGCTTAATGTTGATTATTTATTGACCGACTCGCTATTTCGAGGGCAAACTGGAATAAGAGGCCACCTGTCTTAAGTGGCCAGTTTCCAGACTTCCCAAAGGTGGCCTCTTAAAACAGGTTTGACTGTATATGAATTGCCAAACAAAAGGAAAGCCTAAAGCATTGAGAGTGAATTAACTACATACAGGCAAACTTCAGTATCTCAAACTTTATCTCAAATTCGATGGATTTGTCATACCCGGTACTTATTTGGGAGTTGTTGCAAATTATATTTTGATGTATTTTACCCTTTATATTTGGTATCTTTTGATTGCTCAGATTTTTTACAGTCCCATTGCATTTGAGATAACTGTGTTTGACTGTTTTTAACAGAAAGTGGCTTGTCAGCATTGTCAAGTGTTCACAAAAAGCTAGCATTACATACTAGTATATCAAATTTTTGAAACATATGCAGTATATGTACATGTACATTTCAAAAATCTTTTTATCTCTGTAGATCTGTTACATTTCTGGAACATCAACTTTGACCACCCACCCCAAAGTAAGTATAATCCAATGCTACTGTGATTAGAATAATAAGTTACTGTAAATGTATTCAATTTGACATGTATGAAATTTGGCTTAAATTGATTTTTAAACAAGTACATTTTTTTGTAAGTGTAGATTTGAATAAGAGCTCTCTGAATGTGCTTTATATGAATATATGAAAACAAAACATTTCACTGAGTACTAATATTAGACAGGTTACAGCAGTATCAGACGTTGTTTAGTTAAGAGAACACTACAACCTTTTGCTTCTCTCTTTTCCAGCCCATGGACACAGACCCATTAAGACAGAGTGACCTAATTATTCTTAGTTCTATGACAAAAACCCCAGGTTATAACCCTGATCAGATGATTGGTGAATTCTGTGTCAACACAGGTAACCAAAAATCCACACTTGGCATCATGCAGAGTCAAGATTTCGAAGTAAGATTTTGAATTTGCAGTTAGATCTTTTTATTTCAGTGGTGACAATAAAGAACGGGGGTAATGTCCTTGTGCCTTGTTACCCATCAGGAATGACCTTTGACCTTTTTGAATGTTTAAGCGGCCATCTTGATAGCTGTGGATTAACCACAATTCCTCTGTACTTCCTGTCTCCTGTGTCAGACAGTTCATTAGCATACTCCAATATCTACGCAGAATGGTATATCAGTTTGCTTATTTATCATATAATAATAGTTTACAGATATTTAAAAGATAAAATTTTTAGTAGCTTACAGTGTAGATAAACTGGGTTTTGGTATGAACAAATAAGTCAGTGTGTTACATGGAATTTTTGCTTTACACATTTTTTTTTAATTTAGCTTGCAAAATAATTAAGAAAGAAATCTTTTTGCTGTAGATGTTTAAATTAACATACATGTATGTGAAGATGCATTTTTATAGGGTTGACAAAGGATCTAGTAGAAATGTTCCTGTTAATGATATTCTAGTTGCACATGTAATATTGTTGAACTTTTACATTGATGATGATCTTCACTAGGCTATCAACATCCAAACAAAACAAAGTATATCTTCCAGAGCCCCCATTTCCTCATGCCGAGGTAAGGGATTTCATGAAATTTGTTTTATTTTTATAACTACATGTATAAAACTGAAGTTTGTTAGATGTGTGTAATTTGATACAGACAAACAGATACATGTATGTACCTGTATTTAAAATACATGTATGAAAAGTTTTGTATTTTAAATGGCATGTGAATCAAAGAACATTGTTTACTTTCAGCTTGTATCAATAGGAAGACTGAGACATTACACAAATATACATGGTATGTCATCAAATGAAGAAAGAGCATTGATTGTTTATTTATGTACAGTGTACATGCATGTACAGATGTTTACAGAAAATGTAATAGATTACCAGGGGTTCATGCATTTCTCTATAAAATCAATATAAATGTAAAACAATGAATAAGAAGTAATACAGAAACTGTAGAACATGACATATAAATAAAAAGTTATCTTTCTTTATGTACAGTGGACCTTCAGATATCAGAACACCAGATATCCAGATGCTTCAGTATCGATCCGTACGATTTTTCATCGGAACGGAATATTTCAAACGTTATTTTGTCTTGTTTAACTGGTAATTCAGATATCTGGACGCTTCACATATCCGGACAAATTAATTAGGAACCAAAGCATCCGGGTAAACGAGGCTCCACTGTATTTAATTTTATAATAATAAAAATCCTGCAAGTAAAATGTGATTTAACACAGCTTGTATATGTCTTCCACAAATGTACAGTATCTTAAAAATGTTTACTAAACTGATCTTTTTAACTTTTTGTATCAGTGTTGTTTATGTGTGTTTAACAGATGGACTACAGAATGATTTTAAGTCTCCATGCATTGTATTTGCTGGCCATCCATCACTGAGAATGGGAGATGTTGTACACTTTATGGAGCTCTGGGGCAAATCCTCCAGCAACACAATACTCTTCACTGGTATGTTGTTAAAATCTTGTTAAGTACCAAAAAACTTTGATCACATCATTAAACCTTGCATTAACACAATACTATTACATCTTGAATTTATTATAACAGTACAATACTGTTAAAAATCTTCATTCAGTTCAACTGGTCAGGTGCTCTACTGACTGAGCTATCTGGCCACCGGTGATTGAATCTGGCTGACCGCCTCATAGATCAGAAAGTCTGTTATGGAGTGATTTCAATTTAAAGATCAAGCTTAGCTAGATACATGTATATTTTTTATTATTGTAGAGAATATTATTTGTATATTTTGTACAAGTGCCTTTAACTCAGAAGTTCTTTTTAATTTGAGGGAAGCTATTAATTTTCTATTGCAGAGCCTGATTTCCCTTACATAGAAGCTTTAGCACCTTTCCAACCACTTCAGATGAAGGTACAGTATGCTGTCCACAAGATATATTTTATTTTGACTCTTCTTACACTTCCAGAAAATTTCATTCATCAGTGCATTTCTTTTCATAGTTTTTGCGTTTGTAGGTTTGTTACTGTCCAATTGATACAAGCCTGAATTTTTCACAAGCGAACAAGTTGATGAGAGATCTAAAGCCGGGACATCTTGTGGTGTCTGAGTCCTATGTGCACCCGCCGGCTAACCTGACCCACAAAACAGACCTCGTCATTGATTATGTAAGCAAATAGATGTAGGTCATACTGTATCTTATATATGTATTACATACAGGGCATTTAAATTTATTAGACTAAATTCTTAATGTTTGAATTATTCCTTTTTTCCGAAATTGTTCAGTGTTAAATCTTTCAATTCATCTTTCTGTCAGTGATTCTAGAACTAAGCATAAAAAACTTCCAGCCTTCCTTGTTTTTCTAAGCTTAGATAATGTCTTGAGCTAATTTTTTAAGTGTTCTAGTTTTATAATTTTAGTTTCACAGTTGACCCTGAGAGGGCTAAAATAGGCTGCGCCTGCTGCCCAATCCTATTTACGATACCATCAGTGAATAAAATATTGTTTAAATTAAGTTCACAGTTGACCCAATTTTGGCTCTTAGACTGGTCTTTGAGAATTGTCAATATTCAGGCTCATTGAAATATATGTGATGTGATTGTAGACTTTTTTTTGAATTACTGTTTAATAATACATATCATCAATTCACCTTCAGAATTTATGAAAATTTCACCTATTACATGTAGATATTTTCCATCATGTCTGTAGATGTACAGTTAATTTATGAATGTTTAATGATCAGCCATAGAATGAGTCAGCGTTTCTATTATTTTTGGTTGATTTTCTTTGAGTAGAGGCATAACCCAGAGATTTTGATATATTTTTATTTGGCTATGGTAGGACAATGGTGTTGTAAACATACAGGTTTTTTCTCTCTAGGACCCACAACCACTTACTTGTAAAAGAGGAGAGATTTTAACACTACCCATAAAAAGACAGTTTGAAACTGTAGAAATCACTCCTCAGCTGGCAAAGAATATCGGTCCAGTGGAAGTGAAACCAGGCTGTATGGTATCCATGGTTACCGCTGCCCTAAATATCAAGGACAACAAATACACACTGGAGGTACTTGCTCTCATATTTACATGTATGTTCAAAATCTTGTATGTGTTGCTGTTTAGCAAATTATCACAACTTCTGATGAGTGAAACTAATGATTTATTTCTGAATTTCACTAAAGATGTTGCCAGAAGGACATTTGTCTGGAAAGAAGCGACGAGCAGACGGCAGTTTGATTCGACAGAAGTCATATATCTGGGGCAGTCTGAATGTTCAGACTTTTGTTGATGCACTTACACGGGTAATCCAAAGACAATTTATCAGTTTTGAAATTCCATGAAATTTTAAAATCTTACAATGCCTGAGCCAAAAGCCTTAAGTTAGCATTTCTGATCAGCAAGTGTGTGCCAGCAGTGTCATTTGTACAGGCTGTTTTCTGTCTCTAAATATTCACAATTTTTTTTCTCCAGCAACATTATGAAGCTAATTTCAACAAAATTTGGCACAATGATCTCTGTGTTAATATATAGTCTAAGAGCATTCAAATGGAAAACCAAGTGAGATGATGAACAAATAAAAAAAAATTTTGGTTGACATCCATAAAAAATACTTCCCAAGCACACTTGGCCAAAAATGACAAAACACACATTAAAACTTCCTACTTACAAAGTTTACATTAATACTCAATATACCCTTCATTAAAATTATTGAACCACTTTGATCTGCTGAAGACTACAATATGGGGAACTTCCTTAATCTTTGAATACCCTATCTCTGAATTCATTCATGGTGTGTCAGCCACTCTTAGGTGAGCATTTTGGTCAATGGGACTCTTGTTTGTAAATTGAGAAGCCTAAAAAAATCTATTAATAAATTTTATATATTTTTTTGACAATTTTCAGCAAGGGATAACTGACATTAAAGTAGAAGACACTGAGGATGGATCCATCATTGATTTAGTAAGCCTTAATTGTTAGATTTAAATTCAATTTTAAATGACAAAGAGAAATCTACTAGTAGTAAGACAATGTATCTTGCTTTGATAACAAATTCATGAACACAAGCTCATTTCAAATCAAGAGGTTTTATCTATAACAAGCTCTTTCTTCACTAAATTTGAATGATGTGATAAATGAGCAAAGTAGCTGTGAATAAATTTACAGACATTGTGTTTATTTTCTCTGTTTGAAAAACAGTTTTTAAAAGTTTACCATCCTATAATTATACCCCACGCAACTAGTTGCGGGAGGTATAATGTTTTTGACCCGTCAGTCAGTCAGTCAGTCCTCTTTACTTTGTCAGCGCAACTCCTCATAAACGGCTGCACAGAATTTCGTCAAACTTTGCAGGTATTTAGGACACAATGTGTAGATGTGCATATTACCAGGAAATTCCGATTCCATTATTTTTTCCGGGAATTTCCGCACTTTTTAACTTAGGCATTTGGCCATACCTTGAATATAGAGATGAACAGTTTGTCAGCGCAACTCCTCATAAACCGCTGCACAGAATTTCGTCAAACTTTGCAGGTATTTAGGACACAATGTGTAGATGTGCATATTACCAGGAAATTCCGATTCCATTATTTCTTCCGAGAATTTCCGCACTTTTTAACTTAGGCATTTGGCCATACCTTGAATATAGAGATGAACAGTTTGTCAGCGCAACTCCTCATAAACCGCTGCACAGAATTTCGTCAAACTTTGCAGGTATTTAGGACACAATGTTTAGATGTGCATATTACCAGGAAATTCCGATTCCTTTATTTTTCCGTGAATTTCCACACTTTCCAACTTAGACTTTTTGGCCATATTTTGAATATAGAGATGAACAGTTTGTCAGCACCACTCCTCTTAAACTGTTGTACATAATTTCTTTTATCCAAAAGAGTTTTGCCCATTATTCAAGAAAATTTCTCAACCCCCCCCCCCATTACTTCAAATTAATGTTTGGATTTGTATGATGCCAAGAAATTTTGATTCCATTATTTATCTAGAAATTTCATTCCACATTTAAATGTCCTCATATGCAAGACATTTTGATGTGAAGATTTTTTGCAATTATTGCCCTTTTTGATCTATACTATGTATTTAAAGTGCACTGTGCCTTTCATTATGTGTTTCACTGTCAAGTTTGGGGGGAGCGTGGGGTATGTGAGCTAGCTCACTTTTTCTTTCATTATAATAGAAATATCTAGAAAGTTTCAGAAGATGAGAAAATAATTCTTACTTAGTAGGACCCAAGAGGAGGAATTTTGTCTCTTCAAACAAAATATTTTAGTTGCACTTTACTTGATTTTACTATGAACTTGTGTTTTATACATGTACGTGTATCTCTTTCTTTCTGAGGAATTGTTCCTTGTTTTGACAATGTTTACAATTTTATTTTGAAAAGTGAATGTTGACATTTTATAAATCATATCAAATTGTACATGTACATGTACAGTAAAACTCGGTTATAGCGAAGTCCTAGGGACCTGTGAATTTAATTAGCTATATCCGTAATTCGTTATATCCGTATAACAAATTCGTATAACCATTGTAGCGAATTCGCAATATGCATGTTTTCCTTCAGGTATTACTACTAAATATGTTAGGAAAGCAAATATCAAAAAACATATTTTCGATAACTAAGGTTATATTATGAATTGGATTTCATATACATATGCTAAACAGAAAAAGAGTTTAATTTATCAATTTTTTAAAAATCTTTGAGAGTTCATTATAAAGGATGTAAATTTCACTATATTTAACCTCAACGGGACTCAAAATCAGTTCGCTATATCCGTAAATTCGTTATATCAGAGTTCGTTATAACCGTAAAATTTTACAAAGATTTGTTAAGAATTTTGCCGGGGACATAGAAAAACTTCGCTATATCCGTGAATTCGCTATATCCCTGTTCGTACTAAACGAGTTTTACTGTATAAAATTCATCATGCATATACATGTATGTTGTAATATGTTCAAGTGATATTTCTTTTTTATTATGAATTTTGAATAAGGTTTAAAGGATTGTGGACATGCATCTTTTCATGATACACTTTGCTTTCTTCTTTTGTTGCAGCCTAATGACGACACATTAATACAAGTGGAAGGAGATTCGACCCATATTATTTGTAATGGAGAAGAAATAGTTCGAACAAAAATCAGGGACACACTATTGAAATGCTTGCAAAAACTGTAATAAATTATTATTTCTATAAATCAGTTTATTCTTGTTTGTACATAATTGTGATATCATGGTATCTTATACTATGGCAGCTTATAGTTTAGAATACACATTTAAAAGTTAAGTTGGTGTTATTATACAGTTAAAATATATATCATTGAGGGATTTAGCAAGATTCCAGTTCCCCAAGACCTGGACTATTTCCCAAAATAGTCCTGGTCGAGGGGCATTGGAATCTTGCTAACTCCCTCAATGATATACTATAACTGTTTTATTATACCAATACAAATTTAAATTGTAAAGATCACCTTTTTAAAAAGTTATTCCTTTACAGATTAACTAATCATTATTTTCATGCATTAACGGGTGCAAATACCAAAAGACAATGATATACTTTAACTGTTTTATTATACCGATACAAATTTAAATTGTAATATGACATAAAATTCCTGCATTTATGATACAGATCAACAGTATTGTAACATTTAGAGGTTGCCCATCCAAGTGTGAAACAGACTCACCGTTGCTTAACTTGCCTTATGTAGAGGATTTAAGACCCTACCGCATCACTAAATTTAAGCTATAGCTCTCGAGCTAGGCAGGTGTAATTTTCCTAATATACTCGGTAAACTGTTGGTTACACTTCCCCTGCCCTCTCAGGGAAGCGTAGCATGAGTCTTCTCTGAGGGTATGGGTCTCTTCAGTTACAGCAACTAATGCAGTTCCCAAACAGTAAGTCAGTTCATGAACACAAAATCCTAGTATATCAGAGCTTCCTGAAGCAATTCAAAATCTCTTCAGATGTGGCAACACCAAGTCTGTAAATGGATACCAATATTAGTCCTTACTCAAAGACTTCCTGAAGCAGACTGCCAAGCAGTAAAGTCACCAGGCAGCCACCAATTTTGTAACGTTAAAGTGGTCACCAATCCAAGGGTTATACAGGCTTGTCATTGATTATAATTATTGCATTGCTAAAAAAAAGCTCTCTGGCAAGGCAATATAAGATCCCAATCTACTGTTCGCTACAGTATTAATGAGTCCAGCTTGTTCATGCAGTCATCAGCAGCTAGCATAATCATGCAGTAATCTTCTGAAGTTGTATTAGTAGCATCGTCAGATATAACCCACTGGTGATCTCATCTTTACTCATCAAGTAAAGACGAGATAATCTGTGGGTTTCTAACAAAGTATTAGTAGTTGCTTAAATATTTTTAGCTCACCTGAGCCAAAGGCTCAAGTGAGCTTTTCTGATCAAAATTTGTCCGTTGTCGTTGTCGGTGTCGTCGTAAACTTTTCACATTTTCATCTTCTTCTCAAGAACCACTGGGCCAATTTCAACCAAACTTGCTACAAAGTATCCTTGGGTAAAGGGGATTTAAGTTTCTTCAAATGAAGGGCCATGCCCTTTTCCAAGGGGAGATAATTATGAATTAGAGAAAAATTAATGGCATTTTTAAAAAATCTTCTTCTCAAGAACCACTGGGCCAGGAAAGATGAAACTCATGTGGAATCATCCTCAGGTAGTGTAGATTCAAATTTATTCAAATCATGACCCCTAGGGGTAGGATGGGGCCAAAATGGCCGATTGAAGTTTTACATAGGAGTATATAGGAAAAATCTTTAAAATTCCTCTTCTCAAGAACCACTTGGCCAGGAAAGATGAAACTCACGTGGAATCATCCTCAGGTAGAGTAGATTCAAGTTTGTTCAAATCATGACCCCCAGGAGTAGGGTGGGGCCAAAATGGCCGATTAAAGTTTTACATAGGAGTATATAAGGAAAAATCTTTAAAAATCTTCTTCTCAAGAACCACAGGGCCAGGAAAGATGTCACTCATGTGGAATCATCCTCAGGTAATGTATATTCAGATTTGTTCAAATCATGACCCCAGGGGGTAGGGTGGGGCCAAAATGGCCGATTGAAGTTTTACATAGGAGTATAAAGGAAAAATCTTTAAAAATCTTCTTCTCAAGAACCACTTGGCCAGGAAGCATCCTCAGGTAGTGTAGATTTAAGTTTGCTCAAATCATGACCCCCTCGCTGGGGTAAGGTGGGGCCAAAATGGCAGATCAGTGTTTTACATGGGAATATATAGGAAAATCTTTTTCTCAAGAACCATTGAGACAGGAAAGATGAAACTCTTGTGAAATCATCCTCAGGTAGTGTATGAAGGCATTCTCAAATAGTATTAAAATTCAAGCCCCCTCCCCCCACCCACCTCAATAAACTTTCAGTTATGATCTGATATTTGCTTTTTCCTAGCAGATGTGCTCAGGTGAGCGATGTGGCCCTGGGCCTCTTGTTAAAAAATGAGTGAAATTTTTAACCCAAGTAACTTTTTGAAAAAATTATTTATTAATCCCCCCCCCTTTTTAAAAAAAAAAATATTTAACCATTTGTGTCCCATGTGTTTGTTTCAAGATTAATTTGGATTAGTTTACATTAACAGTACTGATAATTTCCTTCTTGATAAAAAGATATTTATTCATTTAAATCTAAATTTAAATCTGTTTAAATTTATTATTTAAACCTGAACATTTATCATTATGATACATGAATTATTATAAAAATTTTCATGTTTCTGATTGATTAAATATCAATGTCATTAGCTGTATCAATATTTGATTACACGTACATGTAATAGGTTTCAAGTGGAACCCCTGCAAACTTTAGGCTTTTTAAAAGTGATTAATTTTTAATTAATTTGTGGTAGATTGAATGTTATTTTAATAAATTTATCTAGTGCCATTAACAAATGATCAGCAAATAATTAAATTGGAATATGGTGGAAATAATTAAACATAGGTACCTAATAAAAATTTGCTGAATTACTTATGTAGGATAAAGTAGTGAATTAATTAAAATTCATTAAATGGATAGGTCATCAAAAATATTCAAAAGTTTTAGGAGAGTTCCAAACTTTACATAACATTTATCATGAAACTTGTAGTATTTAATGTAAATTTATCATATTATTTAGCCAGATTATATAAAACAGAAAAAAGCACTATTTTAGCAATTTATTAAAATAATACAAAGTTGAGGGAGTTCAACATCAACAATTTAACATCATTGAGAAATAAGAAAGCTAAAATAAAAATTATGTCCAAGGAATTGTATTAATGTTATTTTACGTGCATTTAAAGAAAAAAAAAAAGAATTTTAAATCGGATTATAGTATCGTCTCTATTAAGGGGATGAAGGATGTATGGTCACGTGACTCAATTTAATCTCATACAAAACGAGATTGAAACCACAGTACTTGTATGATTTTTTTGACTGTTTGTTTGCGTTCACCAACTAGTAAAAAAAATATCTGAAAACATTCAAAATTTCTTGCAAATATTATCAACATTACGGAATAGATTAATCCACTCTGCCGTTTCCCTAAAAAAGTGGATCTCTTATTCAGTAAGATCATACACAGTAATAACGGGTAGTATAAAATCATAAAAACGGGCCATAATATGTACATGGTAGGGTATTTTGTAAATTTCAGAACGCAAAAAATATTTTTACATGGTTGTTGACGGAAAAGTTCTGTGGGTTTGTCTTATTTCGCTTATTTCAGGAATGTGTGACGTCATAGTTGGGTTTTCCCATACTCGAGAAATGTAAACATGACACGTTTTTCTCATTCATACTCGTTTAATCGAGCAATATTGAGCTCAGCTTTCGATATTTTTACAGTTAATCAATACAATGACGACCTTGAACTTCGACGTAAATTTTCAAATATTGAATGATAGGATTTTTTGCAAATTAATTTTTTTATGGTTTAAGTTGTCCTAAAAAAGTAAAATGTGGTGTTATTAATAACCCTATTATACTCTAAAATATTTTAAAAGACACATTTCCGCTGGTATATTTTTTATCTATGGTGAAAAATTTCAATTATCGACCGAGTAATGGACCCAGAAACACGGAGAATAAAAACTCCGCTCAGACACTGTGGGGTATTTATTTGTCACTCAATATCTCAGAAATAAGTCTAGAAACCTATTGATATGTCTGCTTTATAGTATGTGGGACATACTAAATAAGATATATACAAAATATGAGAAAAATTAAATGACAGTTATTTTTTCAGCTAAAGGTCCTTCATCTCCTTAAAGAATATTAATAATAACAATCGGGATCGACATTCTTGCTTTAAAAATTTCGGTGATGCAATAATGTAGCAATGAATCAAACACTGATTTTCATTAAATATCAATGGTGATGAAACACTGCTGCAATGTATTCATAGCTTTACTATATATTGAGAGCATCAGTTAATCCATTTTTTATTGTTTTGTGAATCGGAGAGATTAATATTTGTTGACATTATTTTACCGGCCTTGGCAACGTGAAGCGAACCTCTGTCGACTGCTCTCACTCGGAAAATAAACGGTGTCAAGACAGGGTGTAACTTTGTAAGGTGATGAAACTAGACGACAAACAAACGTTGCGTTATCGTCGTGATTTACTTTGGACATCATCCACACATTGCACATAGACAAAGAGAACAGTTAAGTACATCTAACTGAAACAGTCACAACCGTATGTATGTACTGAAAATCAGTCAAAATTCAGTTATGTATTCAATTTTTCATTTTACAACAGGATTAATTTTATTTCTTTCAGAGAGTAAATATGAATTCATTTTATTTTACATTTTCCAGAACAGACAAGCAGAAATGGAGAAGCTTCAAGCACAAGTTTTAATAGACTTCATTGAATCAGAGAGGGGAGTTTACTCTGGTAAAAATTCATAATATTTACATTTGTTGTGTTTTTACTTAAGGCCATTCCAAGTTTTATCCATGTTTAGCGTCCGCGTGCGCCTTGGTTTTTGACACCCCAGGTAAGAAAAAACATACAACATCAGAAGCCCTGAAATTGATTAATATTGTCGAAATTTTTCAATTTTGTCAATTTCTCCAAATAATTATGTACAGTAAGTTATATTGGGTGTATTTTATGCATTTAATCCCTTGTTTTTGCTTAAGAATAGATATTTCTTCTATTAATGCAATTTAGTTAGATCAAATCATTTGAAGGGGTCATTTTTATGACTTTTAAGCCTGTGTTTTATGTTTTGGTTTGTGTGTTTTTTGCGAATAGTTAGGTAGGTTTTTGAAAGATGGGTGGACGCTAAACAGAGAAAAAACTTGGAATGGCCTAACCAAGTATGAAATTGATTTGAATGTAATTTTCACACATGCGCACAATGCATGTTCACACATAGAAATAGACACAATTCAAATACTGAGTGTATTTTTGCTGCTTTTATGATTAATGTTAAAAGTAAATAATGTGCATGCATGCACCTCATAATAACACCCAAAGGGCATTATAGAATTTGATCATGTGACCGACTTCATGTCATATCCCAATGAAACTCAAACATGATGGATAACTCATTTCTTAAAAATATGCCTATTTGATGAGTCTATGGTACTTACACTGCAATAACTCACATAAAAAAATTCTTAAATAAAAATTATGATCCACAATAATGTAGGAAAATTCAGTCTGCTCCAGAAGTTATGAAATATTTATGCTTGTTTTGAATTAATTAATTAAGCTCCACTTGAATGACTACACATTTAATAAAATTGTGCAGATCAACAAAACAAAAATCATGAGGATGAAAGTTTGGATAAGGACCCAGATAAGAAGAGCTGTGTTGTTCAAGAACAGTTGGCTAAGATTGCTATACAGCTGCCTGACTCCCAGAAGGAGGAGATCAGAACGGGTGTGACCCACCTGTTGATCCTAGCTGATGTCAGTGGTTCCATGTCAGGGAGTCCAATCACACAGGTAAGAGGTCAGAACCAGTGTGACCCACCTGTTGATCCTAGCTGATGTCAGTAGTTCCATGTCAGGGAGTCCAATCACACAGGTAAGAGATCAGAACAGGTGTGACCCACCTGTTGATCCTAGCTTATGTCAGTTCTATGTCAGGGAGTCCCATCACACAGGTATAAGAGGTCAGAATCAGTGTGACCCACCTGTTGATCCTAGCTGATGTCAGTAGTCTATGTCAGGGAGTCCAATCACACAGGTAAGAGATCAGAACAGGTGTGACCCACCTGTTATCCTAGCTGATGTCAGTGGTTCCATGTCAGGAAGTCCCATCAGACAGGTATAAGAGGTCAGAACAGGTGTGACCCACCTGTTGATCCTAGCTGATGTCTGGTTCCATGTCAGGAAGTCCACTGATATCAGTAAGTCCATGTCAGGGAGTCCACTGATATCAGTAAGTCCATGTCAGGGAGTCCACTGATATCAGTAAGTCCATGTCAGGAAGTCCACTGATATCAGTAAGTCCATGTCAGGAAGTCCACTGATATCAGTAAGTCCATGTCAGGAAGTCCACTGATATCAGTAAGTCCATGTCAGGGAGTCCACTGATATCAGTAAGTCCATGTCAGGGAGTCCACTGATATCAGTAAGTCCATGTCAGGAAGTCCACTGATATCAGTAAGTCCATGTCAGGAAGTCCACTGATATCAGTAAGTCCATGTCAGGAAGTCCACTGATATCAGTAAGTCCATGTCAGGGAGTCCAGTAACACAGGTAAGGATATAACATTCATGTCATCTCATCCAGTAACACATGTATAGTATAATATTACAAAGTAGACCAACTTTTGTTTGCAATATATTTTTTAATTGCAATACTTTAGCTTAGCTAGAATCCATCTGTGTTTTTAGCTCACCTGATCACCAATTGTCCGTCTGTCTGTCCTTCTGTAAACTGTTCAGTTTTCAACTTCCTATCAAGAACTACTGCTCCAATTTTAACAAAACTTGGTATAAAACATACCTGGATAAAGGGGAGTTGAAATTGTTAAAATAAAGGGCCAAGCCCCTTTCCAAGGGGAGATAATCAAGAGAAGACAAAAATAGGGTGAAGTTATTAAAAAATTTTCTTCTCAAAAACCACTAGGCCAGTTGACATATGTGGGAACATCCTGGGGTAGTGTAGATTTTGAATTGTCCAGATCATGACCACGGGGGATGGGCTGGGCTATACAATAGGGAGTCCAAGATTGACACTGGAATATATAGGAAAAATCTTTAAAAGCCTTCTCAAGAACCTCTGGTGGGCTAGAAAAGTTGAAAGAAACTTAGTGGAAACATCATGGAATAGTGTAGAATGATTCTAAATTGTTCAAATTAGGACCCCCAGGGAAGGGTGGGGCCATAAGAAGGAATCCAAGTTTTACACTGAAATAATGTAAGAAAAATCTACGAAAATATTCTTCTCAAGAACCACTGGGCCATAAAAGCTGAAACTTATGTGGAAGCAGTCTGTGGTAGTGTTGATCCTAAATTATGAATTTCAAAATCATGATCCCCAGACATAGGGTTGGGCCACAGTAGGTAATGTAAGGGGGAAAATCTGTTGAAGAACAGCTTGGCCAAAGTTCTTATTTGAGCACCTTGGCCCATAGGCCTCTTGTTTAATGTTCATGACAGAGGCAACAATCTACATATTGATATGCATTGGTGAATAATTGGTTCAATTTTGCATGTATAATGATTTTAAATTGGGTTTCTCACTATCTAGAAATTGGAAAATGGAAGCTTTGATGATCATAAATAATAGATTTTAATTTTGCTTGACTTATGATGATAAATTTAACGAATAGAATAGGGAGATGATTGTTAAACAATCAGCAGTTTTGTTTTGTTTTCATGTCAGTATCTTATAAGTCCAGTGCTGTTGTTAGTCTCTGAAGGCAGTTATATTATTTTGATTTTAGGTGAAAGCTGCCCTGACAGATATACTGGGAAATGCATTACAACACCCCAGCATCATTACAGATTTATTTCTGTTTAACGACAAGGCCTCCACTGTGGACTTTGACATATCAAACTACCTACACAAGATTGAGGCGATTAAGGCATTAGGGGGAACCTGCTTCTCCAGGGCATTTAGTCACTTAGGATCAGAGATGAAGAAAATTCAAGAAAAAACAGGTACTGACAAATTCTTATTGTGAAAAATAGTGAAAAAAGAAACTAGTATTGATGACTCTTACTATTAGCAATTCCACTTATCATTTTTTTTCATCATCATTCAAGATACTGCTGATAAAGAGAAAAATTGTTTTGAAGAACAGCAATTCCATGATAGATCAACTCTTGTTGACCATAATGCATGATCAAATTAAAAAAAAGTATGTATGCAATAATAGCAGATTGTTGTTTACTTAAATCTGATTTAACAGAGAGGGAGGTAGACAGGAGCGTGATTGTGTTTCTGACAGATGGAATGGACTCCAGTCTCTACGGAAACAATGATGTGCGAGAGGAATGGTTCAGTAGTCTAATGGGCAGTCTGAAGGACCTGACCACTCCATTTACCATCCACACAGTGGGATTTTCTAAACGTGATTTGTCTATTCATATATTGTGCCCATTTTGCACCAGAGAGTGAATTGCGATGTTTTTAGCTCACCTGAGCTGAAAGCTCAAGTGACCTTTTCTGATCACATTTTGTCTGTAGTCCGTCTGTATAGCTGTCCATCTGTCTGTAAACTTTTAACATTTTCTACTTCTTCTTGAGAACCAATGAGCCAATTTCAACCAAAATTCCCACAAAGCATTCTTGGGTGAAGGGAATTCAAGTATGTTCAAATGAAGGGCCCCACCCTCTTTCAAGGGGAGATAATTAAGAAATAGTAAAAATTTGGTGGCATGTTTGAAAAATCTTCTTTTCAAGAACCACTGGATCTGGAAATATGAAACTAATTGGAAGCATCCATAGGTAGTGTAGATTAAAGTGTGTTAAAATCATGACCCCCGGGGGTTAGGGTGGGACCACAATAGACGATCAAAATTTTACATAGGAATGTATAGGGAAAATCTTTAAAAATCTTCTTCTGAAGAACAACAAAGCCATGATTGGTCATATTTATATGAAATCATCCTCAGATAGTGCAGATTCAATTTTTTTTTCAAATCATGACCCCCGGGGTTAGGGTGGGGCCACAATGGATGATCAAAGTTTTACATAGGATTATATAGGGAAAAGAAAAAAAAATCTTTAAAAATCTTCTTTTCAAGAACAACAAAGCCATGATTAGTCATATTTAAATGGGAGCATCCCCAGGTAGTGTAGATTCAAGTTTGTTAAAATCATGACCCCCGGGGTAGGGTGAGGCCAAAATGAAAGTTCATACTTGTAGCTAGGAATGAAAGCCATAGTATGTCAAAGAAATATTAAAGCATTCTTAGTAAGTGTAGATTCAAAGTATTTCAAATCCTACCCCCCCCCCCCCCCCCTGTTTTAGGGGTAGGTCAAGTCTACTTATGCATTAAACTTTTCACTGCTGTATTAATTTTTTGCTTTTTTCCTAGCCACAGTGCTCAGGTGAGCGATATGGCCCATGGGCCTCGTTTTATGCTGAATATGGAAATGAATTAGACTGGACTTGTTGGTTTGCTCTATATTGTATCTGACATACTCATATTATAAAAGAATAAAAGATTGGAACATACTCCAGATTTAAACAGATTTAAATGCATTGTCACATATTGAACATTATTTTATTCCCCATGGCAGAACTGCGAGGCCTAATCTTGTGTCTTATTTTCAGAACATCACTATAATTTCCTGAAGAGGTTGACGGAGCAAGGATCAGGGGAGGGGATGTTCCGATACTGTGAACCGAACGACGGACCGATGGTCCTCAGGGACAAACTTCAGGAGCTGTTTGATTTTGTTCTCAGCAAGTAAGTCTAAGTTGTTACAGTCAATCAGGTATGCTGCTTTCTTATTATATATCTTATACATTTGTTTTGTAGTTTAATTATCAAATCTCTATATGCAATTAAAGAATATACTAGAATTATCAACTAAAGATATTTATCATAATTTGATATCATTTCTTTCTAAATGCAGATTACACACTGCCTGCTTAAAATTTCAAATTATCATTAATATTTGCAGTGCCACTGCACCAATGAGAATTAATGTCTCAATCCCAGGAACCAATCAGATTTTGGAGAGTGGAACAACAAAAAACACAGCCACATATTTAGGGGAGATAATTAAGGATGAAACCTCAGGTACGGCTAAGTTTATGAATATTTATTTAGTTATTGTTTTCTTTTACGAAGATCTAAAATTTAAGTGCATTTTGTTGTTTATATAGCTTTGAAGTCTGAATGCATGTATGTGTAATGGATATCATTCAAAATTAATTCAGCGATAAAGTTTAGCTAGAATGATAAGAATATTTCTATACAACACTTCATTGGACAATGTCATCTGATATTGGCATTGAAACCGATGTAGAGGCCACAAAATGTGTATGCTAATAAAATAGCAACAAAAATAAGCAATAACAAGATGTGTTTGTGAAACACAATGCGCCCAGCGGCAACAAAGTTCGAAAAAGCAATTTTTTTAGCATATAGGTCACAGTCAAGGTCACATGAGAATTGTCCTTGGTGTCATTTGAAAGAATTTAATTGGTGGAGTATGCATACCAAATATGAAGTCTCTATCTCTTATGGTTCAAAAACAATGTCGAAAGTTTGAAAAAGCTATTTTTTTAGCATATAGGTCACAGTCAATTTCACAAGGTCATTGACCTTGTTGGCATTTGAAAGAACTTAATTAGTGGAGTATGCATACCAAATATGAAGTCTCTATCTTCTATGGTTAAAAAATAATGGCGAAAGTTCGAAAAAGATATTTTTAGCATATAGTTCACAGTCAAGGTCACAAGGTCATTGACCTTGTTGGCAATTGAAAGAACTTAATTAGTAGAGTATGCATACTAAATATGATATCTCTATCTCCTATGGTTCCACAAGGTCACAAGGTCATTGACGTTGGCATTATTTGGAAGAACTTAATTCTCGGAGTATGCATGCCAAATATGACGTCTCTATCTCCTATGGTTCAAAAGTTATGGCGAAGGTTAAAGTTGACAACAGACATACAAACAGACAAACATATAAACAGACAAACAGACGGACAAACAGAAAGACAAACAGACAGGAAGGACAAAAACAATGTACACCCCAAATCTATCGATTCAGGCTCATAAAAAAATACCTATACATAAACACATGTTCAAGTATACTATAGCAGCAATTTAGTTGCCGTTTTTGGTATATTTTTGTATGTGAAGTTTTCATACCCTTGAGTTATTTTTAGGGAAGAGAGAGCTTGGGGTGGATCTATGGATTTTTGTGTATGATCCCAGTACAACTGACCTTACAATAAATGTAGAGATGACAGTGGTAGAGGTATTTATAAGATATGTCTATAGATCAGCAAAATGTAAAATTTTGATGTTGGGTAACAGGTGGTGAAAAAACCAAGTCATCACTGGTACTCAAACCCAGGGCTTCTGGTGTACTGTACCAGTGCTCTAACCTTTGAGCTACTGAGACGTGATATATTAACTGAAGCTTCTGAGATTTGATATATTGACTGACTTCAACACACCTGTTTATCACACACAATTGTAATCGAAATACAAAGACATGAACAACAAAAGGTTTATAGTTCTTCTATTTTGTAGCACAGAAGCCAATGAATTAAAACAATTGGTTTCATTTATATCTGCCACAGAATGAACAGGTGGAGAAAGTTTTGGTTCCATGTGAAGTGACCATGACAAAGAGACAGATTATAGATGCTCAGGAGAAAGTCATGTGGAGTGTGAAGATACTACAGAGGAACTGTGATGTTCTGTCGGCAGTGATAGGCCAAGCGGTCAGTGATGGCAATGGTCAGTCTTACTTTATCTCGTTTTATTTACTGCATGTTTAGTACAGTGTTATCAATTAAAAAAAAGACCTACAAGATGCTTATAAAAAATTACTAGAAAAAGAAGAAAAAAGATGAGTGACTAAGATAAGCATGTGCCTAGTGATTCCACATTGAATTGAATATTTTCAGTGAAAGAGAACATGACAGGTCGAGTGGACAAGTTACAGGAGAAGGTATCGCGAGTTCCTCTCTTCAAGCGTGAGTTTGACAAAGAAGTGAGGGAGGTCATGAAAGCTCACCTTGACGATATAAAAACCAAGGTGAGATCAGTGAACACAAGACATTCTATTTCATAATGATCAATTTTATTTTGTACTGAGGTAAGAGTCTGGAATGACTATAGTTCTGACAATTTAATCATGTTAATTTGGTTATACATTATATAATAAAACAGAATGTCTACCTGCATATACTGTAGATCACTTAATTTTTGCAACACCTTATTTTCGCGAGATAGTCATTGATAATTGATTAGCGACACAAAATTTTCACGAATCGTGGTTACTGCTCTATAAAATCTTGAGGAATACTATTATTGCGAGAATTAAATTTTCGCGAGCACATTGTCTCGCATAATTATGCGAAAATAAAGTTCACACGAATAAAAAGTGATTTACAGTAAACTGAATGTGTGTATGCATTGCATGTAGGATTAGTAGTTATGTAATGCATGTTAAAGGTTTAATGTTCAGACAAAGATTGTTAAAAACTAGAGCAAAGCTTGTTGCAAAGCAACGAGTAGGTCTTCCGCCCTGTTTGACGGGAAGTAGCTTTCATTTTTAACAAAAATGAGAAATAATGCTCTAAAATGCTTTAAATCCTCTAAAGTAATGTTCATTAATGCAAAAATGAGCCATTTTTTGCTACTTCCGCTCAAACCGGAAGTGACGACGACGCACGGAAATTAGTTTTTAAGCTTTAAAGACATATGTTACCCAAAAACTTGTCAAAAACGGCAAAAATACGCGTTTTACGACTACTTCCGGTTTGGCCGGAAGTGACGACGCTGGATGTATTCTGACGAGTCCATTAGATTAGGCTTGACATTTTCAACAACTTTGCTTTTTTAATGTATAACAAATTCTCAATACTTTTTGAGATATCTGGGAAAAACTTTTGGCCCCTCTAGATCCCTTAATTTAGGGGTCAGCCCTTTTTCCGACATATCATTTGCAAGATCTTCTAATTCTAAACAAATTATGTTCTATATGATTTAAGAAAATATTTTTAGTTTAGAAGATAAAAAGCAAAATATGAGTAATTTTTGGTTCTTTTAAGCGTTCTAATTTTTTACCCCTATATAGCGCCATTTTGAATAGAGAAATCGAAAAACAAAAACCGATGTGCACAACTTCAATCCTTCTTATATCTAAAATCAGAAGAATTTCTGCTCCAGCTTTAGCCGTCTCTGAGCCTTTGTCTGGAAACGAAAGCCTATAAATTTTTGTTTAAAGGGAAATAACTCAAAACCGGAAGTGACTTTTTGAAATTTTAGTCAGCGTTCTGATAGAGTTTATAAACGTCTATAATGTCTGAAAATTTGAGCGAAATCCGTTGAGAAATGAGTGAGATATGAGGCCTCAAAGTTGGCGTCTAGGAAGCAGAAGAAAAACTAGAGCCGAGCTCGTTGCAAAGCAACGAGTAGGTCTTCCGTCCTGTTTGACCGAAAGTAACTTTTATTTTAAAACAAAAGAGAAATGACGTCTCTAGTGATTTAAATCTTCCAAATCTATGTTAAAAATTGCAAAAGTAGGCCATTTTTGCTACTTCCTGTTTGACCGGAAGTGACGTTGACGGACAGAAAATTAAGTTTTATGCTTCCAGTGACAAATATTTCCCCAAAACGTCAAAAACGGCAAAAATATGCAGTTTCAAACTACTTCCGGTATGGCCGGAAGTGACGTCACAGGACGTATTTTGATGACATCAGTAGATTTTACCAGAGATTTTCAACAACTTTGCTTCTTTGATGTATAACAAATTCTCAATACTTTTTTGAGATATCTGGAAAAAACTTTTGGCCCCTCTAAATCCCTTAATTTAGGGGTCAGCCCTTTTTCAGAGATATCATTTGAAAGATCTTCTAATTCTGCACAAATTATGTTCTATATATTTTAACTAAATATTTTTAGTTTAGAAGATAAAAAGCAAAATATGAGTAATTTTTTGCTCTTTTAAGCGTTCTAATTTTTGACCCCTATATAGCGCCATTTTGAATAGAGAAATCGAAGAACAAAAACCGATGTGCACAACTTCAATCCTTCTATTATCTAAAATCAGTAGACTTTCTGCTCCAACTTTAGCCATCTCTGAGCCTTTATCTGGAAACGAAAGCCTATAAATTTTCATTAAAAGGGAAATAACTCAAAACCGGAAGTGACTTTTTGAAATTTTAGACAGTATTCTGATAGAGTTTAGTAACTTCTAGTACCTCTGAAAATTTGAGCAAAATCAATTGAGAAATGAGTGAGATATGAGGCTTCAAAGTTGGCGTCTAGGAAGTTGAAGAAAAAAAAAAAAGAATAATAATCTTTACCAACAGAATCAGTAGAAGGTCTTCCGTTGGAAACGGAAGACCTTAAAAAGAATAATAATCTTTATCAACAGAATCAGTAGAAGGTCTTCCATTGGAAACGGAAGACCTTAATAAGGAGCCCTTTTTAGCTAACCTGAGCCGAAGGCTCAAGTGAGCTTTTCTGATCACATTTTGTCCGTCGGTCCGTCTGTCTAGCTGTCCGTCTGTAAACTTTTCACATTTTCGACTTCTTCTCAAGAACCAATGGGCTAATTTTGACCAAACTTGGTACAAAGCATCCTTGGGTGAAGGGGAATTTAAATTGTTAAAATGAAGGGCCAAGTCCCCTCACAAGGGGAGATAATCAAGAAATGACAAAAATTGGGTGGGGTCATTAAAAAATCTTCTTCTCAAGAACCACTGGTCCAGAAAAGCTGAAAGTTATGTGGAAGCATCCTGGGGTAGTGTAGATTCTAAATTGTTAAAATCATGACCCCCGGGGATAGGGCGGGGCCACAATCGGGAATCAAAGTTTTACATAGAAATATATAGGAAAAATCTTTAAAAATCTTCTTCTCAAGAACCACTGGGCCAGAAAAGCTAAAACTTATGTGGAAGCATCCTGGGGTAGTGTAGATTTTAATTTGATAAAATCATGACCCCCGGGGGTAGGGCGGGGGGCCACAATGGGGAATCAAAGTTTTACATAGAAATATATAGGAAAAATCTTTAAAAATCTTCTTCTCAAGAACCACTGGGCCAGAAAAGCTGAAAGATATGTGGAAGCATCCTGGAGAAGTGTAGATTTTAAATTATTAAAATCATGACCCCTGGGGGTAGGGCGGGGCCACAATGGGGAATCAAAGTTTTACATAGAAATATATAGGGAAAATCTTTAAAAATCTTCTACTCAAGAACCACTGGGCCAGAAAAGCTGAAACTTATGTGGAAGCATCCTGGGGTAGTGTAGATTCTAAATTATTAAAATCATGACCCCCGGGGGTTGGACGGGGTCACAATGGAGAATCAAAGTTTTACATAGTAATATATAGGAAAAATCTTTGAAAATCTTCTTCTCAAGAACCACTGGGCCAGAAAAGCTGACACTTATGTGGAAGCATCCTGGGGTAGTGTAGATTCTAAATTGTTCTAATCATGACCCCTGGGGTAGGACAGGGCCACAATGGGGAATCAAAGTTTTACAATGTTGAATCAATTAAAGAATCCTATGGTAGTGTAGATTTCAAATTGTTTAAATTATGATCATTTGGGTAGGCTGGAGTCACAATATGTATTACAAGGGGAAATCTGGTAAAGAACGGAATGGTCAAAGCTTCTCAGGTGAGCGATGTGGCCCATGGGCCTCTTGTTATGAATCTCTCAGGTATCTCTTCCAATACTTCCATGCTTCATGCAATAAAGTGCAATCTACCAAGAGACACCAACCATCAGCATGTTCAGAATTGTTTATTTTAATTACCTGTTTACATTTAGCCAAAAAAAATGCCAAATTACAAGCTGTTAAAATTCTCTTTGCAAGGTGAATACATACTCTTGAATAGAATTGTATGGATATTGTTAGTTATGTTTGTATTTGACTTATAGATTGATCATATGAGAACCGTACTGGCTGAGTATGCTCGCGGTAACACTCAATCTGTGCAAATGTTGGCTCGAGCTCACGACATGAGATATCAGGCAAAGGTATATTTATTTCTCCTCTCTCAAATGTGACAAAGTACCCATCTGACAAGTGTATTCCACTAAGTTGTACTTGTAATTTTTCTTCAGTTTTCAAAATCTAGAAGACAGAGGATTCTCGACAAGCGAGTGGCAAAGAACATGCCCAATCTACAGACTGCTCAAGCTCAGCTTGACGAGCTGGTACTGAACCGTCAGGAGATAGAACAAATGTCTAGTGCAGCCAAAGAGTTCTTTTTGTGCTCCCTGTCTCTGAACAATATCCGGGATGTGTTACTGGACTCAGACAAGGACGACGCCATTGGATTTGGTCTGGCTGTTCGCAGACAAGAGCATGTGCTTGATGCCCCAACACTTGCAAGTTCACAAGCAACTTATTTATTGTTTATATTGATTTTTTTAAGAAATTCCTTTTTTTTTTAGACATGAAAAATCTGTCTTGTCTCCCTTTAAATGATTCACGCTTTCATTGTCATTTAAAGGGAAACAACACAAATTATTATACCTCATATTAGGGCTGGATATTGGCCAGAGATTTCATATTGCGATATATTGCAAGAATTTTAACTGTATTGCGATATGTATTGCAATACTTTCAATGAAAATAAAATTTTCTTATTATATTAACTTTAATTTACATGCAGAATGTACATAACTACTTATGATAAGTAACTAAAAGAAAAACAATCTTGACTTCTTTTTAGCTCACCTGAGCCGAAGGCTCAAGTGAGCTTTTCTGATCAAAATTTGTCCGTTGTCTGTCGTTGTCGTCGTTGTTGTTGTCGTCGTAAACTTTTCACATTTTCATCTTCTTCTCAAGAACCACTGAGCCAATGTCAACCAAACTTGGTACAAAGTATCCTTGGGTAAAGGGGATTCAAGTTTGTTCAAATGAAGGATCACACCCTTATGATAATTATGAATTAGAGAAAAATTAATGGAATTTTTAAAAAATCTTCTCAAGAACCATTGGTCCAGGAAAGATGAAACTCATGTGGAATCATCCTCAGGTAGTGTAGACTCAAGTTTGTTCAAATCATGACCCCGGGGGGTAGGGTGGGGCCAAAATGGCCGATCAAAGTTTTATATAGGAATATATAAGAAAAATCTGTAAAAATCTTCTTCTCAAGAACCACTGGTCCAGGAAAGATGAAACTCATGTGGAATCATCCTCAAGTAGTGTAGATTCAAGTTTGTTCAAATCATGACCCCCGGGGGTAGGGTGGGGCCAATATGGCCGATCAAAATTTTACATAGAAATATATAGGAAAAATCTTTAAAAATCTTCTTCTCAAGAACCATTGAGATAGGAAAGATGAAACTCATGGGAAATTATCCTCAGGTAGTGTAGATTCAATGTTTTTTAATTCATGACCCCCTGGGCTAGGGTTGGGTCAAAATGGCCAACCAAAGTTTTACTTTGGAATATATAGGGAAACCTTTTAAAATCTTCTTTTCAAGTACTTCAAAGCCATGATTAGTAATATTTATATGGAATCATCCTCAGGTAGTGTAGATTTAAGTTTGTTCAAATCATGATCCCCTGGGGGGTTAAAATTCAAGACCCCACCCCAACCTCAGTAAACTTTCAGTTCTGATCTGTTATGTGCTTTTTCCGGCTATTCCTTCATGTAAGTTGTCACGAAAATCACGGCAAACAACATCATACCATCACATTTGTCCAGCACAGACTCACTGGTAGAGTCAGCTGCATTTAGCAGCATTTGTCCAAGGCAGACTCTCTGATAAACTCAGCGGCTTTGTCCAGCACAGGCCCTCTGGTAGAGTCAGCGGCATTTAGCGGCATTTGTCCAAGACAGACCCTCTGGTAGAGTCAGCGGCATTTAGCGGCATTTGTCCAAGACAGACCCTCTGGTAGAGTCAGCGGCATTTAGCGGCATTTGTCCAGCACAGGCCCTCTGGTAGAGTCAGCGGCATTTAGCGGCATTTGTCCAAGACAGACCCTCTGGTAGAGTCAGCAGCATTTAGCGGCATTTGGCCAGCACAGACCCTCTGGTAGAGTCAGCGGCATTTAGCGGCATTTGTCCAACACAGACCTTCTGGTAGAGTCAGCGGCATTTAGCGGCATTTCTACAAGACAGACCCTCTGGCAGAGTCAGCGGCATTTAGCGGCATTTGTCCAAGACACACCCTCTGGCAGAGTCAGCGGCATTTAGCGGCATTTGTCCAAGAGAGACCTTCTGGCAGAGTCAGCGGCATTTAGCGGCATTTGTCCAAGACAGACCCTCTGGTAGAGTCAGCGGCATTTAGCGGCATTTGTCCAAGACAGACCCTCTGGTAGAGTCAGCGGCATTTAGCGGCATTTGTCCAAGACAGACCCTCTGGTAGAGTCAGCGGCATTTAGCGGCATTTGTCCAAGAGAGACCTTCTGGCAGAGTCAGCGGCATTTAGCGGCATTTGTCCAACACAGACCCTCTGGTAGAGTCAGCGGCATTTGTCCAAGACAGACCCTCTGGTAGAGTCAGCGGCATTTAGCGGCATTTGTCCAAGACAGACCCTCTGGTAGAGTCAGCGGCATTTAGCGGCATTTGTCCAAGACAGACTCTCTGGTAGAGTCAGCGGCATTTAGCGGCATTTGTCCAAGACACACCCTCTGGCAGAGTCAGCGGCATTTAGCGGCATTTGTCCAAGAGAGACCTTCTGGCAGAGTCAGCGGCATTTAGCGGCATTTGTCCAAGACAGACCTTCTGGTAGAGTCAGCGGCATTTAGCAGCATTTGTCCAAGACAGACCTTCTGGTAGAGTCAGCGGCATTTAGCGGCAATTGGCCAGCACAGACCCTCTGGTAGAGTCAGCGGCATTTAGCGGCATTTGTCCAAGACAGACCCTCTGGTAGAGTCAGCAGCATTTAGCGGCATTTGTCCAAGAGAGACCTTCTGGCAGAGTCAGCGGCATTTAGCGGCATTTGTCCAACACAGACCCTCTGGTAGAGTCAGCGGCATTTAGCGGCATTTGTCCAAGACAGACCCTCTGGTAGAGTCAGCGGCATTTAGCGGCATTTGTCCAAGACAGACCCTCTGGTAGAGTCAGCGGCATTTAGCGGCATTTGTCCAAGACAGACCCTCTGGTAGAGTCAGCGGCATTTAGCGGCATTTGTCAAACACACACCCTCTGGTAGAGTCAGCGGCATTTAGCGGCATTTGTCCAAGAGAGACCCTCTGGTAGAGTCAGCGGCATTTAGCGGCATTTGTCAAACACACACCCTCTGGTAGAGTCAGCGGCATTTAGCGGCATTTGTCCAAGAGAGACCTTCTGGCAGAGTCAGCGGCATTTAGCGGCATTTGTCCAAGACAGACCTTCTGGTAGAGTCAGCGGCATTTAGCGGCATTTGTCCAAGACAGACCTTCTGGTAGAGTCAGCGGCATTTAGCAGCATTTGTCCAAGACAGACCTTCTGGTAGAGTCAGCGGCATTTGTCCAAGAGAGACCCTCTGGTAGAGTCAGCGGCATTTGTCCAAGACAGACCCCTCTGGTAGAGTCAGCAGCATTTAGCGGCATTTGGCCAGCACAGACCCTCTGGTAGAGTCAGCGGCATTTAGCGGCATTTGTCCAACACAGACGTTCTGATAAAGTCAGCAGCATTTTTCCAAGACAGATCTTCATATTTGTTGAAAAAATTAAACAAGGCTACTTATAATTGTAAAGTAAAGCTTCTTCTGCATGTTGCTGTAATTGATGGAGTAAACACATTATTTTCTTTAATTGGTATTTTATTTTGCAACTTTTTATAAGTATAACTTAATAATTAATATGTTATACATGGGGTACTTCTAATTTATTAATAATAATTAGATAATCGAGCAATATTAAATGCATGAAGCCAGATGTTTGACACCTTTTCCCTAATCATCTTCTGTTTTGTTATAATGGTGGTAATTTTGTCTGTATCTGACTGCAAGATATCAATAACTGTAAATTGCTAATCAGCATGATGCTTATGGCTAGTGCTGACCAAGATAAAGCTGTTAATTTTATTATTTTTAAAGATACTACCAAAGTACAAAACATTATTTGTAGGCCTACAATTTAAACTGATATTTAAAATTTACCGGGGTAATATTTTTTGAATACTGGATATACCATCAAACCAGAAATGGAAAAAAAATAAATATTATTCAGTTCCTAGAGGCATAGTTATAGAGTTTCTCAAGCAAATATGTTTGTTTTTTTAATGTTTGACAAAAACAAATAAGCGTTTCATGTGAAAAAAATGTCTATTATCACTACCGGATATGTTTGATTGCTGTATAAATGAAAAAACCAAATACCATACTGTTTCGATTCCCCGAAGTTCATAAGAACGTGATTTGAGGGCTATAACACTGGATGATTAAATGTTAGAATTTAATACATATTAAATCTCGGCATTTGTCCAACACAGACCCTCTGCTCTGGTAGAGTCAGCAGCATTCCCTATGAGAATGATTGTAGGTCATGCTCATCTGCTTGGAGAAGTAAAATTAAAAGATAGTATACACCAATATTGTTAAAAGTCATTCTTGTGAGTTTTGATTGAAAATTGAATTAATACACTTAGCCTAGTAAGTTGTGTAAAGCGGTATGAAGCGCTTCTTGTGAAATAAATTGTATATAATCACTACCGGAAATTTTTGCTTGCCGTATAAATGAAAAACCAAATAGATACTGTTTCAATTTCCCGAATATTGATATGAACGTGATTGAGGGCTATAACTCTGGAAATTTCATGAATGATTAAATATGTTAGAATTTAAATGCATTTTAAATCTTTTACGGAATAAGCTGCATGATTATGAAATGTATCCCATTTTAATATCTTTTACGGAATAAGCTGCATTTTAAAAAAATCTTTTACGGAATAAGCTGCATGATTATAAATTGCTAACCTATCCCAGTTTTATATCTTTTACAAAATAAACTGCATGATTTATAAAACGTTAACCTATCCCAGTTTTATATCTTTCACGGAATAAGCTGCATTTTATATCTTTTATGGAATAAGCTGTATGATTTTAAAATGTTCACTTATTCCAGTTTTATATCTTTTACGGAATAAGTTGCATTTTTAATCTTTTACGGAATAAGCTGCATGATAATAAAATGTATCCCATTTTAATATCTTTTACGGAATAAGCTGCATTTTTAAAAAATCTTTTACGGAATAAGCTGCATGATTATAAATTGCTAACCTATCCCAGTTTTATATCTTTTACAAAATAAACTGCATGATTTATAAAACGTTAACCTATCCCAGTTTTATATCTTTCACGGAATAAGCTGCATTTTATATCTTTTATGGAATAAGCTGTATGATTTTAAAATGTTCACTTATTCCAGTTTTATATCTTTCACGGAATAAGCTGCATTTTTAATCTTTTACGGAATAAGCTGCATGATAATAAAATGTATCCCATTTTAATATCTGTTACGGAATAAGCTGCATGATTACAAATTGCAAACATATCCCAGTTTTATATCTTTTACGAAATAAACTGCATGATTTATAAAACGTTAACCTATCCCAGTTTTATATCTTTCACGGAATAAGCTGCATTTTATATCTTTTATGGAATAAGCTGTTTGATTTTAAAATGTTCAGTTATTCCAGTTTTATATCTTTCACGGAATAAGCTGCATTTTAAATCTTATACAGAATAAGCTGCATGATAATAAAATGTATCCCATTTTAATATCTTTTACGGAATAAGCTGCATTTTAAAAAAATCTTTTACGGAATAAGCTGCATAATTACAAATTGCTAACCTATCCCAGTCTTATATCTTTTATGTAATAAGCTGCAAGCTGCATTTTAAATCTTTTAAGGAATAAGCTGCATGATAATAAAATGTATCCCATTTTAATATCTTTTACGGAATAAGCTGCATTTTTAAAAAATCTTTTACGGAATAAGCTGCATGATTACAAATTGTTAACCTATCCCAGTTTTATATCTTTTACGAAATAAACTGCATGATTTATAAAACGTTAACCTATCCCAGTTTTATATCTTTCACGGAATAAGCTGCATTTTATATCTTTTATGGAATAAGCTGTTTGATTTTAAAATGTTCACTTATTCCAGTTTTATATCTGTCACGGAATAAGCTGCATTTTAAATCTTTTACGGAATAAGCTGCATGATAATAAAATGTATCCCATTTTAATATCTTTTACGGAATAAGCTGCATTTTTAAAAAATCTTTTACGGAATAAGCTGCATGATTACAAATTGCTAACCTATCCCAGTTTTATATCTTTTATGGAATAAGCTGCATTTTTTTATCTTTTTTACGGAATGAGCTGTATTTTACATCTTTTGCGGAATAAGCTGCATGAGTACAAAATGTTAAAAGTATACACGCTATAACTTGCGCCAGTTGAAATACGATTGGAAATTGATATAATTTGTTTATCAATAAAAGTTACGAAAACACTGTAAATTACACCATTCAAATTAAACGCGTTACAAAGTTATCAAATTATAATTTTTTATTATCCTGCGAGGAAAGAAAAATAGCTATTTTAAAATAAATCCATCACGTGACGCCGTCGCTACTTTTAGATTGATAAACACACGTGGCGTAAAGAAAACAAGGTAGGTCGTTTGATATACTACTCACTTTTGACGTGGATGGCAAGCGTCTAACTTAATGGTACTTATCTTTTAATGTATTCAGTATCAACCATCTTCTCTGTTATGACGCATATTAACCTTATATTAATAATTGTTGTCAAAATGCAACATACCTCGTTGTCTGTGATTTCCCGTGGACACGTGTTTCTATATATAGGCCTACTTTTTACGCACTTCCTTCTTCAATATTCATGAATAGACCGAGTTCTTGATCCCTAGATATTGTTTAATTGTTTTGTTATTACAACGACATCTATAGTATAATTTTGTGGAAACTATTATTTTTCATTACACTTCATGTGTTTTAAATCATTCATCATTTTGTTTCACACAAAGTTCGGCGTTCATATAGCGCATATGACTTTAACCTATCCCAGTTTTATATCTTTTACGGAATAAGCTGCATTTTTTTAAAAATCTTTTACGGAATAAGCTGCATGATTACAAATTGCTAACCTATCCCAGTTTTATTTCTTTTACGAAATAAACTGCATGATTTAAAAAATGTTAACCTATCCCAGTTTTATATCTTTCACGGAATAAGCTGCATTTTATATCTTTTATGGAATAAGCTGTTTGATTTTAAAATGTTCACTTATTCCAGTTTTATATCTTTCACGGAATAAGCTGCATTTTAAATCTTTTACGGAATAAGCTGCATGATAATAAAATGTATCCCATTTTAATATCTTTTACGGAATAAGCTGCATTTTTAAAAAATCTTTTACGGAATAAGCTGCATAATTACAAATTGCTAACCTATCCCAGTTTTATATCTTTTATGGAATAAGCTGCATTTTTGATCTTTTTTTACAGAATGAGCTGTATTTTACATCTTTTACGGAATAAGCTGCATGAGTACAAAATGTTAACCTATCCCAGTTTTATATCTTTTATGGAATTAGCTGCATACTTATCTTTTTTTACGGAATAAGCTGCATTTTATATCTTTTACGGAATAAACTGCATGATTACAGAATTTTAACCTATCTGAATTTTATATCTTTTACTGAATATTGGCCATAATAAATATATTTCTAGATTCTCATCCCTGCCCACCTAGAATTTATACCCTGCCTCGATTTTTTTCTTTTTCTTAATTCTCATCGAGATCGGTATTCATCTACCATTCTACTTTCGTTTTAAATCTAGCACTGGTTCTCTGCCCTTGATTCCAGTCGCTGCCGCTAGGAATTATTTTCAGGGCGCTTGCGCCTGTTTACCAATGTCAGGGTACCAGTCTAGTTTTAAATCCTGCAAAGTCGACAGTTGTATATGATAGTGTTGACTGAAAAGACAGTAATTGCTGTAATACGTAGAAATTTTAAACAAGGGTCATTGGTTGAAGAAGATTGGCGATGATGTGAAGTATGAGATAATTGAACCTTTATCACGACTTTTATTTGGGTATTGTTGTAGATAAAATTACACTGATTGACCAATAGTTTTGTAGATTTTATTTATTGCTCAGAGAGTTTATTTGTTGAATAAATTAAGACACACCTACTTATAATGAGATAATATTGAAGCATTCTCAAAGTAAAGCTTCTTCTGTTACTGTAATTTATGGAGTAATTACACTATTTTCTTTATTTAGTACATTTGTATTTTATTTGACATATTTTCATAAATATAACTTAATAATTAATATGTTATACATGTTGTACTTTTAATTTATAAGTAATAATCAGATAATCGAGCAATATCAAATGCATGAAGCCAGATGTTTGACACCTTTTCCCTAATCATCTTCTGTTTTGTTATAATGGTGGTAATTTTGTCTGTATCTGACTGCAAGATATCATTAACTGCAAATTGATAATTAGCATGATACTTATGGCTAGTGTTGACCAAGATAAAGCTGTTAATTGAATTATTTCAAATATACTACCAAAGTACAAAGAGCTCTTTGTACAATTTAAACTGATATTTAATTACTGGGGTAATATTTTTTTAATAATACTGGAAATACCACCAAATCAAATGAAAAAAAATATATATATATATATTACTAATTGAGAAAGTCCCTGTCATTAAGGAAAAGCAAATATTATTATACTATTTAAGTATCTTTCATACATAAAATTGTAAACCATCTCTCCATTAATTACTGTATATCAGTAAATCCATGGAAAAAGAACAGAAGGTCTGTCTTGGACAAATGCCGCTAAATGCCGCTGACTCTACCAGAGGGTCTGTCTTGGACAAATGCCGCTAAATGCCGCTGACTCTACCAGAGGGTCTGTCTTGGACAAATGCCGCTAAATGCCGCTGACTCTACCAGAGGGTCTGTCTTGGACAAATGCCGCTAAATGCCGCTGACTCTACCAGAGGGTCTGTGTTGGACAAATGCCGCTAAATGCCGCTGACTCTACCAGAGGGTCTGTCTTGGACAAATGCCGCTAAATGCCGCTGAATCTACCAGAGGGTGTGTCTTGGACAAATGCCGCTGACTCTACCAGAGGGTCTGTCTTGGACAAATGCCGCTAAATGCCGCTGACTCTACCAGAGGGTCTGTCTTGGACAAATGCCGCTAAATGCCGCTGACTCTACCAGAAGGTCTGTCTTGGACAAATGCCGCTAAATGCCGCTGACTCTACCAGAAGGTCTGTATTGGACAAATGCCGCTGACTCTACCAGAAGGTCTGTCTTGGAGAAATGCCGCTAAATGCCGCTGACTCTACCAGAAGCACTGTCTTGGACAATTGCCCCACCCACCAACCCATTTCATCTCATTTCGTGACTTCTTACATGAAGTATGAACCGCTTTTTCCTAGCCGATGTGCTCAATTGAGCGCTGCAGCCCCTGGGCCTCTTGTTTAAAGTTATGCTCTGAAATACTAAAAGTACACCCATAAAACAGCTTCTGTCCAACTGTTTCGCTTCTGTCCAACTGTTTCGCTTCATAAAAAATTGACTGTATAACTATTAAGGGTATAGAGTGTTCTCCATTAAGGTAATTTAAGCAATTAGAGTTATTCCCCTTGTCTGCCATGTTTTAGGTCAATATTCCCAGATCCCTTCGTTATTCAACCAAGTTCAATTTGTTACACTGGTTACTGAGGTAAAGATAACTATTTTTCTTATGTATTTACGTTTGTTAATTAAAGCCTTTATTTATAATTCATAATTTTAAGATTGTAAATATTTTCCCCCATTTATTTCTTGCATGCATGTTTAAAATTGGTCGCTCAAAAAGGAAAATTCACTGCTTTGCCCTAGAAGATGGTGGCTAAGGGGAATAACACTGAGTCAAAATAAGTCATAGGAAAGCAGTCTATTAATAATGATTGTTGTAGGTAATATCTGTCATGTCTATGAGTATGTTTCTGTATAACACTGCCATTTTATGTGGTTACTGTACAGGTGGAACTTCACTCTATTAGTGGAACATTAGTGAGTAGGAGTGCCATGTTGGATGCCCTCGAGTACAAGATTAACTGTTCAGGTCAACTTAAAGCTCACGGAGGGTTTGATTTCACCCAGCCACTAGGTGTAACCACTGTCGGCCAGTCTAGGGAACCAATCAACGCTTGGCTCCCTTTGTACTGCACCAGACAGCATTGGGAGAGAGTTAAGGTAAGATCTCACCCAGCCACTAGTTGTCACCACTGTCAGCCAGTCAAGAGAACCAATCAACGCTTGGCTCCCTTTGTACTGCACCAGACAGCATTGGGAGAGAGTTAAGGTAAGAGTAATGTGGATTCCTAAATGCATGTTTATATGCAAGGAATTTTTTTTCGTGTAATTTAGCTTGAAGCCTCACAGGCAAAATAAATTACAAGCTTTGATTTAACATTGCAGAAATAAAAATTATTATAAATACTAGATCAACAATCCACTCATGAATTTTATTTTCTTGTGTTTTGCTGAATAGGAGCTATTTCATGATATTAAACTTGTACTTGGGAGGAGGAGGATCATATTGTTTATATGTCCCTGTTGAAAGGATGTAAAATTTATGTCTGGTTCACAACTTTATTATGCTTTATTTTAATTTTATATTTCACCTAAATATTTTTTAATGTAACAAGGGTGTGTCATGACCTTGATCCAAGGTCATTGAATCAAGTTTAAAGTTACAAAATATGTACCACGATGTACAGTTTATAATAGTACAAAGTATAATATTGAAAGTCTATATTTAAAAAAAAAAGATAACACATGAGTCAAGGGGATATAAATACCTTGACCCATGGCTATTTTGGCAAGTTGAAGGTCAGTGATAGACAAAGTGTAAAATCTCTTATCAGGTTTATGAATTCTTAGTGTAAAATCATTAAAAATGATAAAAAAAATGTTTCAAATATTGCTCTGTACTAAAAGGATGTGTTATTTTCTTGATTCAAGATCATTTTAGAAAGTTTCAAGTTGATTTCATAAAGTTCTGTGGATAATTGGTTATGAAAAAATTGCAGCATATTTTGAGTTTGGTCACAGGTTCTCTAATAGACCTTTCTCATAAACATTCTATCCGGTCCGGTTTTAACCTTTAGTTTTTACAAAGTCACGTGATACCCGACACAGCGTGATTGTCATGTGTTCTTTTTATGACAGGTATTGCTGAAGCCGTCACTGGGATATTTCTGTACCCTTGACCCCCTGGGTTACGACTTTCAGCAGATGGATGTCATGTTCATGGTTTTGGGGTCAATGGTGGGAGGACTGACCGACACGAAGTCCAGTGATCAGCAGCTGAAGATGATCTTCTGCTTCCTACAAACTTGTCAAGGTCAGATCATTTTGTTTTCATCATATTCATTAAGGTCAAATAATATTGAAAACAGAAGATGTACAGTGTACTACAAGATTTTTTTTTTTTTAAGATTATTGATTGTGATAATATTCTGAATTTGTTTAAAGTTAAACATTCTCCTAGTGCCATGTATGTGTGTAAAATTTATAATTATTAAACTGTTTAAAACATATTCATGGTTTGAAGTGAGATATTACTGTAAATATTTCTAGGATAACTTTAAAGGTTTACTTTGTTGTTACAGCCTGTGTTCAAGACTTTTTACTGGAAGCCAGACTTACCGAGGCTGTCAGTAAATTCCTCAGCTCACCTGAAGACAGGATGAAGCATAAACTGCCAAATCTCAACACCATGATCGGATATGTCCTCTCACTGCCAGCGGACACTATCAAAACTCTCATAGGTGTGTTACATGTATTTCTACACAACTGATGTATTTGTCTAATTATCTGTCTGTGGTTATGGATCCACTGATATAATATTTTAATTATTTTTAAGTGATTTAACATTCTTTCTCAAAAACAGATGGAGAAGAGGGTCTGAGAAAATTCTGGCTTGCCATGGTAACAGAATGTACGCGGAGAGGGGCGTCAAGAATTCTCAGAGAAATCAACTCTAATATCACTCATGGATTGATTGATCTGATTTTACATGGAAATAAAGGTACGAGGGGTGATCAAAATGTTCGCGAACTATCTCTATATCTACAAAACCAGAATTCAGATTAGAATGAAATTCGATACACAGATAGTCATACACAAGTTCAATGAATAGCATATGCTGAATAAAGTTTTCCTCCTTGTTTGTGATGTCACAATGTGAAAATGACGTCACCATGTAGATCACTTGTGACGAAAAATGGTTGTCTCAGTCGAACTCGTTCAACAAACGACTGTACAATTTATTACATATCTTAGAAAGTCCTTTGCCGTAGCATATAAAAATTTGTACACAATTTATTAAGACCAGTTACTTCCTATAAATTCAATCAATGATTGGATTAATTGTTTTAGTGAAGGAAGGCAGATGGTTGAAAATGATACTTGTCATCTTGCCCACTAATGCCCAGTGAAAGCAAGTTTGAAAAGATATCTGTTTTTAATTAAGCAATTTGCTATCAAGGACCTCCAATTTACACTTTGAAAAACAGCTGAATATTTGAACAATAATATCATTATTTAAATACCTAAAATATCGTTTAATTTAGATTTTAAACATATAAGATATGATAAAAAGGAGGCACATATTCTCTATCCACCTTGAATAAAGGTCTCTCCTGAGACAGAAGATTTGTGTTTTAATGGTCGCCATGCTTATTTTTGGAAGGGATATTCTTATCCACCCATTCTGTTGCTGAGATGTGACCATTTCTGACAAATGAACTGTTCTTGTCACAAAAATTATCTCACATGGAAAGAAATATAAAACTCAGAAAAATCTTTCAACTTTTGTGACAGAACGCTACCAAGGGGGTCACGTGACCACCAATATCACATGATTCGCGCATGCGCAGAACGGTGGTTGATGTGCATTAAAATTGGAGAGGATTAATTTAAAATACAATCAACATTGAAACTAAATATTGTTTCTTTTATGGAAGTTATTCAATTAGTTCGCGAACTTTTTAATCACCCCTTGTAAATAAAGTTTAAACTTCTTTATCCTAAATCAAATTCCCAATGACCGATATTTTAATTTTCCTCCAACCATGAAATAATGACCCCATAAAAGTATATGATTTTACAGATTGCTAATTTAAATTTTGATGATAAGTTTGACAAGTTATGACTGATACCTATATACTAGTATTTAACTGAAGCCTGTGTAATGTCAAAATCACTGGTATCTCTCTTGTTATGAAAGATAAGAATAAAAAATTGTTTAAATGTAAATTAACATAGTTCATGATACATAATTCCTTGCATTTGTTTTTGAATAATTCTGTAAACAGAGCTCTTCCATTATTTCTTGAAAAAGGATTTTTTTTTATTCTAAAAATGATCCACCTGAAATTATTTTTACATGCTGTGTGTCTTATTTTTAAAATGAAGTATATTGGTATTGCAAAGAATGTTTTCTGAATCAGTAGAGCTACTGTCTCACCAGTGACCTCTGTAGATATAATGTTATTATTATTATAGACAAGGAAGTGGTGAGTGAAGAATCTGCATACACAGACCTTATAAAACGCCTCTACTCTGAAATTGGTAATAAAAAAGATATTCCCCTGACCAAAGTGTTTGATCCGCGAGAGGGACTCACGATTGACGACAGCATGACGAAGAAATATGACGAGAAAATGGATCAGGCGATGGAAGTTTGGGCTCAGGCGGAGCTAGATATTATCAGAGTATGTCACACTTTAACTTTTATTAAGTTTATAAAATTTTTGCGATAATAAACAACTTTTTCAAGGTACATGTAATGTTTTCAAATTTTGTACAAAGGTAGTTTACATGTAGTTTACATTGTACTGCTATGGAGACACATGAACATTTTGCAGTCATATCACTCTGTCTGTCTATATCATATTTTAATTTATTTTTTTCAAAGAACAAAAATCAAACCAAAAAAGTGAATGCTGCCAGAAAAGCTGTAGAACAGTGGCAACAGGAAGGGAGGGCCGCCGTGGTGGTGGATCCAGTGACTCAGTCAGGATGTGGGGTGGATGATCCCTGTCAACTGACAAATTCAAAGCTACAACATCTGACTAAGGTTAGGAATTATATGACTGTACAACATATCATTTCTTAACAATAGTAACATATACATAAATTGTATAACTAACAAGTATCTTAGCATATGTTGTTAAAATGTTGAACATAAACATCAAATTTAATCCATAGATCATAGATTTATAATGCATTTAGTACATATCCCCTAGTTTAACTATTTCACACCTACTCTATTTTTTTGTTTGTCAGATGATCCAGATTTTCTCCAATCAAGCTAGGCCTTCTTTATCCAGTTTTCTGGGCTGCATGGCTTTTATTGAGTTTTGGCTGATCCAGACCAGAGATTTAGCAGAAATGGACAGAAATGATGGACTGCCACCAGAGGGCTGGATTGAGATGGCCAAGGAGGCAGTGAAAAAAGTCTATACCTGTGCTAATGGTTGGTATTCTTTAGTAGTTAGTCAGACCCAAGTATTTTGAGAGATCAATATTTCAAATTGTTAAAAGTTTGATGTAAAATGGCAGATGTAAATTTTCTGATTCATTACTTGAGTACAGATGGAGTATTTGTCACACATACTGTATTCATGGTTTTCATTGTACCTCAAAAAAATGAAAAATGAAAATTGGTCTAGTAATTACAAATAAGCTCTTACAAATTTTATTGGTCATAAGAGTTTTGTTTACAGAGCAACTGAAGTGTTGTATGACCCCATGTGAGGAGAAGGATTTACTGGTTGTCAAGGAAACTGAGAGTTTGGAGAGGGCACCAGTTTCAGGAGGACCAGATTCTACACAGACAGCACCAGGGTCTGATAGTGATAGTCTGTGCACAACAAAACAGCAAGCGGGTGATGATGTCGATGATTCCTTTGACGATAGTGACGATGGAACAGAGAGTGATGAGGACATCGATGTTGATTTTGATGTTCCACCAAAACCAAGAAAAGTGGAGAAGGTGGTGCAGAGGCATATTTCATTGCCTGTTATATTGACCTTGATTGACCCTGACCTAGATGTGGTTCAGTTGTCAAGGTTACTGATATGTCAAATCATCGCCTACCATAGCAACAGTAAGGCCAGAGCTGCGGTGGCCAACAAACAGTATATCGACTTTGCCACAAAAGGTCAGTTTATTGTCTTAGTAATGGTGTTATTTCTAGTTAAAAACAAAATTAATGTTTTAATTAACGGAAAAACAAGCAGAATAAAAGATACTTGATAAATATCAATATCAAACAAGGATTTATATTGCAAAGGGACATAAATGATTATCTAAAATTGGGACATTTAAACTACTTCAGAGATCAAATGATCCATGAATTCTCCAAGAGGGCCATTTCATGCTATAAATAGTTTTTCACTTTATTGTCTTCTTTCACGACAGTTGATTACCTAGAAGAGCTCAGAAAACTGGATGTTGACTTAATAAAAATGAGAGAAGATGCGATCAAGGATGTAATGGAATCAGTTCAGAACTTACGGGCTAACTACTGCATGCTGCATACCCCCTCGATGTGGGCTTTTATAGGTAAGTACCCAGTATGGGCTAACTACTGCATAAAGCAAACTCTATTTATGTGGACTTGGAATTTGCTAACCACTACATGCTACATGCTCCCATCATGAGGACTTTTTAAACTTGTATGCTGCTAAGATAGTGCATGTTACATATTTCCTACATGTGGGCTTTGCTAGGTGTGTATCTGGTACAGAGATTATAGGCTAATGTCTACAGTGTCTGTATTCCCTCCATGGACTTTTATAAATACACATATGTACCTGGCAGAGATTTAATCAAACTGTCTTTGACTTTGCTTACAAGTTAGAGAGAAAGGCATTTGAAATATTTTACTCTATTAGAAATTAAAATGCTGCTCTCAACATTTATTTAAGGAATGACTCTAATTCTTGGCCAAATTATTCGATTATAACCTGGTTTGGGTCAGTTTACGCTTTATTTATAAAACTGTAGCTCTAGCTTATCAAAAACCATTGCACTATTTTATGCGGATTATAAAAAAGCATAAACTGATCAAAAACCTAACTATTCTATGTATTAGTGTAACTTGTGTGCCAAGTTATATTGAAATGACAAAACTGTAGAAGAGTAGCGTTTTAGAGGAATTTCACAGAAAATTCTATTTTTAGCAACCATGGCAACACCGTTCATCGAAATCAAAAACCGATGCACTATTCTATGTATCTTTTAGTCTAAATAATTAAACCAAAACTGTAGAAGGAGTAATGTTTTAAAGGAATTTAAAAGAGAATTCTACTTTTAGTAACCATGGCAACACCGTTCACCAGAATCAAAAACCGATGCACTATTCTATGTATCTTAGTGTAGTCTACTTTTATGCCAAGTTATATTGAAATCAGACCAGAACTGTAGAAGGAGTAGCGTTTTAAAGGAATTTCACAGAAAATTCTATTTTTAGTAACCATGGCAACACTGTGCATCAAAATCAAAAACCGATGCACTATTCTATGTATCTTAGTGTAGTCTACTTGTGTGCCAAGTAATATTGAAATCAGTAAAATTGTAAGCGTTTTGAAAAATACAGACAGACAGACAGACATCGGACGCATTACTATCGCATAAACTGTGACAGACAGACAGACAGGATGTAAAATTGTGTTGCTTTTTACCAGGTTATAATTGAATAATTTGGCCAAGAATTAGAGTCATTCCTTATAATTTAATTTTAAAATAATTAAACAACTGTGGGTGTAAAATTGTGTTGCTTTTTATGAGTTCAAATTTGCCGCTCAATAATACATCCCTAGTAATGGAAGTGATATGAAACAAGGGGAGGTAATAACTGATGCACAGATCTAGCAGCCATGATGTTTTTTTTACACGAGGTAAGATCGATCTACTGTTTAAAGTTAAAGGTACATTTATTAAATCTGGAATTTCTCATGAATCCCAAGGACTGGAAATGAGGGGATTGTATGGATACAGATGATTCAGCTAGTTGTCAAGGGGGTGTGTTCCCATACCAAACCAGGTTATTAAGGAATAATTTGCGTTCCTTGTAGGAAATCAACCAATGAGAGACTAGAATACAAACAAAATTAAATTATAAAGATATATCACTAGTTTTTTCATTAATTGCTACTCCATACTTTTAACTGCCAATGCCTACATTGCAAATAAAACTGGCTTCTCATTAATCAGATGCTGATAAATAGGTTTTTAATTTCAATGAAAACTTATTAGATCAAAACTGTAACATATGAAGGTTGATTTTAGAGACTAGGATTACACAAGTTTCCTTTTCACAGGTTATCTGATGTGTACATACAAGGAGAGAAACCAAGGCTTCAGTGATTTAATGTCGGTCATTGTGGATGAGAATTCACCGGATCAGTTCCCGCTTCTGGCAGACAAAGTCAGAGTTATGTTTCTTGGGAAGTACAAGGACTACGCTGTACTGGCCCGAGGCAATGTCTGGATCCCCGAGGCCAAGGTGGCCAAACAGTTTGTCAAGGTTCTGGGAGAAGAGGTAAATTATAGGATAGAGTCAGACCTCATTTAAATTCTGAGTATAGTAATATAGTAATGAAAGTTATAGATTTTGTCATCAACATAGGTAAAACTATAAAAACATGTGACAAGATTCCTATCTATGTACCAAACTCTCCCTTCCATGCAAATTTATTTTTTTTTTTAAACATTTCAGGTTTGGAATGAAATAGATGTGGAAGTGCGCTCCCATGTTCAACTGCATGTGTACCGTGAATCAGATATTCCTAACAGGCATGGCCATTGTAACTCTAATCCCTATATTCCCAATGCACTGAGAAAAAAGCTAGGGATGCCATTACTTAAAAATTAACAGGCTTTAGTGTTCTTTGTAATGGAGCCTAAGGCTCAAGTGATGTAGCTGGAGATGCCACCATTCAAAAAAAATGCAGGCTACAGTGTCCCTTGTCAATTCATGTGAGCCTAAGGCTCAAGTAAGGTGGCAGAGGCTGGGGATGCAACTACTAAAATAAATACAGGCTACAGTGTCCCTTGTCAGCTCATGTGAGCCTAAGGCACAAGTGAGCTAGTAGTAGCTAGGGTGCAACTACTCAAAGATCGACAAGCTAAAGTGTCCCTAGACAACTCATATGAAGAACTTTGCAAATCTTCTCAAATAGATAAAGTCATGTTTAGACATGTAATATGGAAGCACCCTCAGGTACATGTAGTTGAGATTTAGGTTTTTTGATTCTTAAAAATCTTCATCTTAAAAGAATACTTTATTATATTACATAATTTCTTAAATTCATATGGTAGCATTCTTAGATAGTGTATATGCACATTTGTTTTAATCATGGCCCCTGGTTGTAAGATGGGGCTATAAAAATGGGAGAAATATTTGCTAATGAAAAATGGCAGTTCCAAAGTGACTAAGGTGAGCATTGTGGCTCTTGTTTCAACTTAATGTGAAAGCTTTCTGGTGAACTGAAGTGTAAGTTTATCAAGAAGGTTCAAATATTAAATGAAAAGTTTGAAATAATACATTTGTTTGATTATGTCACACTTAGTTGTCACTTTATTGAAATAATTTATATGTTTATTATTTTATGTTTTATATAGTTACTGTTTCATTTATATTTTTACAAACTTTTTCTCTGTATTTTAAATATTATATATATATGTATTTTTACAATCTTTTACACTCTGAGTTTTATTAGCTCATCTGAGCCGAAGGCTCAAGTGAGCTTTTCTAATCACATTTTGTCCGGCGTCTGTCTGTCTAGCTGTCCGTCTGTCTAGCTGTCTGTCTGTCTGTAAACTTTTCACATTTTCGACTTCTTCTCAAGAACCGCTGGGCCGATTTCAACCAAACTTGCCACAAAGCATCCTTAGGTAAAGGGGATTCAAGTTTGTTCAAATGAAGGGTCATGCCCTCATTCAAGGGGAGATAATTGGGAATTAATGAAAATTTGGTGGTATGTTTTAAAAATCTTCTTCTCAAGAACCACTGTGCCAGGAAAGATGAAACTTATGGGAAAGCATCCTCAGGTAGTGTAAATTCAAGTTTGTTCAAATCATGACCCCCGGGGGTAGGGCGGGGCCACAATGGCTGACCAAAGTTTTACATAGAAATATATAGGAAATTTTTTTAAAAATCTTCTTCTCAAGAATAACAAAGCCATGATTGATCATATTTATATGGAGGCATCCTTAGGTAGTTGTGATTCAAGTTTGTTCAAATCATGACCCCGGGGGGTAGGGTGGGGCCACAATGGCCGACCAAAGTTTTACGTAGAAATATATAGGAAAATTCTTTAAAAATCTTCTTCTCAAGAATATCAAAGCCATGACTGATCATTTTATATGGAAGCATCCTCAGGTAGTTGTGATTCAAGTTTGTTCAAATCATGACCCCCTGGAGTAGGGCGGGGCCACAATGGCCGACCAAAGTTTTACATAGAAGTATATAGGAAAATTCTTAAAAATCTTCTTCTCAAGAATAACAATGCCATAATTGATCATATTTATATAGAAGCATCCGCAGGTAGTGTAGATTCAAGTTTGTTCAAATCATGACCCCCGGGAGTAGGGCGGGGCCACAATGGCCGACCAAAGTTTTACATAGAAATATATAGGAAAATTCTTTAAAAATCTTCTTCTTAAGAATAAGAAAGCCATTATTGATCATATTTATATGGAAGCATCCTCAGGTAGTGTAGATTCAAGTTTGTTCAAATCATGACCCCCGGGGGTAGGGCTGGGCCACAATGGCCGACCAAAGTTTTACATAGAAATATATAGGAAAATTCTTTAAAAATCTTCTTCTCAAGAATAAGAAAGCCATAATTGATCATATTTATATGGAAGCATCCTCAGGTAGTGTAGATTCAAGTTTGTTCAAATCATGACCCCTGGGAGTAGGGCAGGGCCACAATGGCCGACCAAAGATTTACATAGAAATATATAGGAAAATTCTTTAAAAATCATCTTCTCAAGGATAGCAAAACCATAACAGTTCAAAGGTTTACTTTTGGATTTCAACTTTTCAATAATAAACCAATTTCTACTTTTTCCTAGCCACAGTGCTCAGGTGAGCGATGTGGCCCATGGGCCTCTTGTTTTATTTACTAGAATGTAATTTACTTTAAATACTCATATTCAGATGGTCAAATAGAATCTGTTATCATTTCATATTCAGCTTTAAAGTTGCACCAATCAAATACATTTTATGATATATATACGTGTAGCATTTTGATTATTCCATAATTTTCCATACAAAAAGAGAAATATTTACGTGAATACATACTGCTGTGATAGTTTGACTTAAAACATCTCTTCATTTTGTTTTTTAGCTCACCTGAGCCAAAGGTTCAAGTGAGCTTTTCTGATCAAAATTTGTCCGTAATGTCTGTCATCGTTGTCGTTATCGTTGTTGTAAACTTTTCACATTTTCATCTTCTTCTCAAGAACCACTGGGCCAATTTCAATGAAACTTGCTACAAAGTATCCTTGGGTAAAGGGGATTCAAGTTTTTTAAATGAAGGGCCACGCCCTTTTCCAAGGGGAGATAATTATGAATTAGAGAAAAATTCATGGCATTTTTCAAAATCTTCTTCTCAAGAACCACTGGGCCAGGAAAGATGAAACTCATGTGGAATCATCCTCAGGTAGTGTAGATTCAAATTTGTTCAAATCATGACCCCCGGGGGTAGCTTGGGGCCAAAATGGACGATCAAAGTTTTACATAGGAATATATAGGAAAAATCTTTAAAAATCTTCTTCTCAAGAACCAATGAAACAGGAAAGATGAAACCCAAGTGAAATTATCCTCAGGTAGTGTAGATTCAAGTTTGTTCAAATCATGACCCCTGGGGGTAGGGTGGGGCCAATATGGCTGATCAAAATTTTACATAGGAATATGTAGGAAAAATCTGTAAAAATCTTCTTCTCAAGAACCAATGAAACAGGAAAGATGAAACCCATGTGAAATTATCCTCAGGTAGTGTAGATTCAAGTTTGTTCAAATCATGACCCCTGGGGGTAGGTTGGGGCCAAAATGGCCGATCAAAGTTTTACATAGGAATATATAGGGAAACGTTTTAAAATCCTCTTTTCAAGTACTTCAAATCCATGCTTAGTGATATTTATATGGAATCATCCTCAGGTAGTGTAGATTCTAGTTTGTTCAAACCATGACCCCCTGGGAGGTAAATTCAAGTCCCCCTCCAAACTCAGTAAACTTTCAGTTCTGATCTGATATGTGCTTTTTCCTAGCAAATTGCTCAGGTGAGCGATGTGGCCCCTGGGCCTCTTGTTTTTTTTTTTTGGTTATATTAATTTAAAATGTATGGCATTGAATATTATTTTTAATTTATACTTTAAATTGTTAATTTTATGTAGTAATAATGAATTATGTTCTTTTTGTTCACTGTATACAATGGTTAGACATAAAATCAATTTCTGAATCAGTAAATCTTGTTTTCATGACCTTGGTGTCATTTGAAAGAACTTAATTAGTGCAGGATGCATACCAAATATGAAGTCTATATCTCTCATAGTTCAAAAGTTATTGCGAAGGTTAAAGTTGACAACAGACAAACAGATAAACAGACAGGACAAAAACAATATAGGCCCCAGATCGCATAAAGATGAGTTCAAAAAGAATAAACTTTGAAGCATATATATAGAGTTTATGTATATAGGTGTGGTACGTCTTTTTTAAACGTGGTTTTTCTTGCCTGAAAGTGTCAGGATCTTTATTTTAACAACTTTTAAGTGTATTTAAAGAAGATTCAAAATTTTTAAAATTTATTTTACATTTAACAATCCGGAAGACAAGCCCCTATGCTCAGAACAGACACTTAGCATTGATTTCGAAAGCTTACAATACTATATTTCCTTCATATTACTTTACTTTAGTATAAAGTAGGGGGGGGCAACCAGCCTTTCAGTGAACATTTTCAATAGTAAAAGTATTGTTGGCAAAAAAAGTGCGGGGGGCAGCCCTCCCCCCCGTTGCTACGTCCCTGCAGAATGTTTGCTTTGATCGAGGAACATTGCCACCATTTATCACCATACAAGGGCTAATAAGGGTGTCTAAATAACAGGGAAGAAAACGATAACCCTCAGTGTGTTCATCAATATCAGAAGATGATGTTTTTAAGAAGACCAATATTTTTGTAGATTCATTTTCTTTGCTAGAACTCTGCCAGCTGTTGTGAGGAGACAAGTTCAGTGTACTAGTATAAACGACGTCGTTCACGATTAAAATCTGGCAGTTGCTCACGGCATCAGCATTCTTGTAGTCCCAACATATCTCGATCAACCACTTCAATCTTCTAACTCTCCTTATATTCAAACCCACTGGAACACCTTGCTACGTGAAAACTTGTCTTTGTAGACATCAGAACTGTTTCTTCAATAGATTTTGCTATTTTTTTTTTCTTTTTTTACTTTTCTTTACTGGCAAGTTTTACTGGTTTCTTTTAAAATGAAGCAAATAATCATTATCAAAATTAATTGCAAACGTAAATTTACGCAGTTCAAATGTAATTTATTATTAATGACAACATATCTTTTAACTCAAATATGCAGACTAAGAGAAGTAAAATAGATCGATCAGAGAAGACACATGACAATCCTTAGGATGAATGGAATTTATCCTCGCTGTTGATTAATGACCCTGGGACCCCATTTTACAATGTACAATCTTGGTTTGGGTGAATAAAATGAACTTGAACAAAAGAACTTACGACTAAGACCAAAAATATTAGGTGATTGTAAACTTATAAGCATGACAATTCATAATTCTGTTTCAATTTGATGATTTAAAATTATCCCTCTACATTCCATTTAAAAATGTAAATACAATTTTCTATTTAATGTAATTTATAAATTTTTAAATATTCAATTTTGGTCTTAGTTGTAGCTCTTTTTGTAAAACATCGTGTCAATTTCTGTTGTCTCCCAGCAACATTGCCTTTTAAACAGGATCAATGATGATGAACGATGTCATTTTAAAATTTCCAAACCACAGCTGAAAGAAGAGTTTAATGGAAGACATCCCTTCCTGGGTTCTGGCCAGATTGAAATACTAAGGACATTTCAGACATTAACATATTTATATTTATATATGCATTAGATGTTATATTTATGCTCTAAAAGTACACAGTTTAGGTAAAACTGGGTAGGGATTGGATGGTGTCGCGGTTGTGATTTTTGTTGTAATGCTATAAATACGTCACAATTGCAAAACATTTATACGTATTTCATTTTGGAAGGAAATACATGTTTTCTATTTTGAACAACATATTTTCTTGTATATACTTCATAGGCGTAGTCACAGGGGGGGAGGGGGCAGCGGGGGCACTAACCCCCCCCCCCCACTTTCAGATCTTAGGGGGGCAAGAGTATATCTGTGCCCCCCCCCCCACTTTATGTAGAACAAAATCACAGCTATGTTGAAATAATATTAAACCTCATTTTATGGCAAATGTATTTTATTTTCAACAACAACTGAGTAAGCATTTCTGTTGAAGTAATAGTTGTATAAT